CTGAGGAAGAAGCAATTGTGAAATCAGTTGCACCAACTGAGCAAGCTGTGTCACCAACAGAGGAAGAAGCTATTGAGGAAGCTGTGTCACCAACAGAAGAAGAAGCTATCGAACAAGCTGTTTCACCAACAGAGGAAGAAGCTATTGAGGAAGCTGTCGCACAAACTAAGCCCATCCAGAAAGCTGTCACACCAACCAAGGAAGAGGCTAAGCCCATCAAGAAAGCTGTCACACCAACCAAGGAAGACGCTGAGCCCATCAAGAAAGCTATCACACCAACTGAGGAAGAAGCAATTGTGAAATCAGTTGCACCAACTGAGCAAGCCGTGTCACCAACAGAGGAAGAAGCCATCGAGCAAGCCGTTTCACCAACAGAGGAAGAAGCTATCGAACAAGCTGTGTCACCAACAGAGGAAGAAGCTATCGAACAAGCTGTTTCACCAACAGAGGAAGAAGCTATCGAACAAGCTGCGTCACCAACAGAGGAAGAAGCTATCGAACAAGCTGTTTCACCAACAGAGGAAGAAGCTATCGAACAAGCTGTTTCACCAACAGAGGAAGAAGCTATCGAACAAGCTGTTTCACCAACAGAGGAAGAAGCTATCGAACAAGCTGTTTCACCAACAGAGGAAGAAGCTATCGAACAAGCTGTTTCACCAACAGAGGAAGAAGCTATCGAACAAGCTGTTTCACCAACAGAGGAAGAAGCTATCGAACAAGCCGTTTCACCAACAGAGGAAGAAGCTATCGAACAAGCCGTTTCACCAACAGAGGAAGAAGCTATCGAACAAGCTGTTTCACCAACAGAGGAAGAAGCTATTGAGGAAGCTGTCGCACAAACAGACGAAGAAGCTAAGCCCATCAAGAAAGCTGTCCCACCAACCAAGGAAGAAACTGAGCCCATCAAGAAAGCTGTCACACCAACCAAGGAAGAGGCTAAGCCCATCAAGAAAGCTGTCCCACCAACCAAGGAAGAAACTGAGCCCATCAAGAAAGCTGTCACACCAACCAAGGAAGAGGCTAAGCCCATCAAGAAAGCTGTCACACCAACCAAGGAAGAGGCTAAGCCCATCAAGAAAGCTGTCACACCAACTGAGGAAGAAGCAATTGTGAAATCAGTTGCACCAACTGAGGAAGCTGTTACACCAAGCGGGGAAAAAGCTATTGAAGAAGCTGTTTCACCAACAGAGGAAGAAGCTATCGAGGAAGCTGTTTCACCAACAGAGGAAGAAGCTATCGAGGAAGCTGTTTCACCAACAGAGGAAGAAGCTATCGAGGAAACTGTCGCACAAACTGACAAAGAAGCTGAGCCCATCAAGAAAGCTGTCACACCTACTGAGGAAAAAGCAATAGTGAAATCAATTGCACCAACTGAGCAAGCTGTTTCACCAACAGAGGAAGAAGCTATCGAACAAGCTGCGTCACCAACAGAGGAAGAAGCTATCGAACAAGCTGTTTCACCAACAGAGGAAGAAGCTATCGAACAAGCTGTTTCACCAACAGAGGAAGAAGCTATCGAACAAGCTGTTTCACCAACAGAGGAAGAAGCTATCGAGGAAGCTGTTTCACCAACAGAGGAAGAAGCTATCGAACAAGCTGTTTCACCAACAGAGGAAGAAGCTATCGAACAAGCTGTTTCACCAACAGAGGAAGAAGCTATCGAACAAGCTGTTTCACCAACAGAGGAAGAAGCTATTGAGAAAGCTGTCGCACAAACTGACGAAGAAGCTAAGCCCATCAAGAAAGCTGTCACACCAACCAAGGAAGAAGCTGAGCCCTTCAAGAAAGCTGTCACACCAACGGAGGCAGAAGTTATTGAGGAAGCTGTCGCACCAAGCGAGGAAGGAGATATAGAAGAATCTGTGACACCAAGCGTGGAAGAAGCTATCGATGAAGCTGCTTCACCAACAGAGGAAGAAGGTATCGAGCAAGCTGTTTCACCAACAGAGGAAGAAGCTATTGAGGAAGCTGCCGCACAAAGTGACGAAGAAGTTAAGCCCATCAAGAAAGCTGTCACACCAACCAAGGAAGACGCTAAGCCCATCAAGAAAGCTGTTAAACCAACCAAGTTGGATACAAAGCCCTTCAAGAAAGCTGTTACACCAACCAAGGAAGAAGCCAAGCCCTTCAAGAAAGTTGTTACACCAACAAAGGAGGATGCAAAGCCCTTCAAGAAAGCTGTTACACCAACAAAGGAGGAAGCTAAGCCCTTCAAGAAAGCTGTTACACCAACAAAGGAGGATGCCAAGCCCTTCAAGAAAGCTGTTACACCAACAAAGGAGGATGCCAAGCCCTTCAAGAAAGCTGTTACACCAACAAAGGAGGATGCCAAGCCCTTCAAGAAAGCTGTTACACCAACAAAGGAGGATGCCAAGCCCTTCAAGAAAGCCATTACACCAACAAAGGAGGAAGCCAAGCCCTTCAAGAAAGCTGTTACACCAACCAGAGAGGAAGCAAAGCCTTTCAAGAAAGCTGTTACACCAACCAGGGAGGAAGCACAGCCCTTCAGGAAAGCTGTTACACCAACTAAGAAGGATGCAAAACCCATCAAGGAACATGCTAAACTTAACTGACAAACCCTCTAAGGAATCTGTAAAACCTGCAAAGACTGGATCGACTAAGCCCAAAGGACACGGAATAAAAGTCAAGGTTCCTCAACAAACAGTGAAGGAACCTGTCTTAAAAGAATTACACGACGAAACCACAGAAAAAAACATCGTCTCAACCAACGAGGTTAACAAGTTGGCTACGGTCGCAGCAGAGGCCATAAAGACAGATTCTGCACCAAGCCTGGGAACACCCACGGATGAGTAAGGGTGATTATTGAAACCAGTGCCTACCTACCACCAAGGACAATTGAGCAAGCCTACAGATGTGTGAATGTGTCCCCGAAGGGAAGTGATAATGAACATCTCAAAAGCCATAAATAAAATCCAAACCTTAAGACTCATCACAATTTAAAGTGTAATACTAAGCGAATGGATTATAGTGCTCTGTCTTGGTATATCTTGAATAGTGCCTTTAACAATTAAGAATTACGAAGCAAAAAGTGAAAAAGAATATAACATATATACAAATGAATGCTATGTTGAATGAATTAAATTATTAAAAGTTGCTTGCTAAAGTTATAAAAATGGAAAATGACTTGAGGTCTAAAAGTATATTATTATGTTGACTTGATTGCAGTTCAGTATTGACAAATGTAACAATTATTTGAATAAATGAAAACTGCTACAGCAATGCGGAACCTGAATGTTTGTCATTTTTTATTAGGAGGTAATGTATGCAATACAAGTGCGATAACAGAACATGCGGCACATCTCTCAACAGCAACCGTTCCCCCTTTAAATAACATGCTCCGGCCACAGCAGTCATGGGAATGACATTCTCAAGTGGACAACTTCAGCTGCCACACCTGGAGCAAGGCAACTCCTCCACCACTCCGGCATTAATCTGCAAATGCTGGTAACCAGGCATATAAAGACTTCTTCCCACACACAATACTATAATCATAAGAGCATCGCAAATAGTGCATCCAATGAAAACTGGACACCCACACACCCTATGTACACCTAGCTTGTCACACATAAAACAAATATACCCTTATAGCCTTAACAGACTGTTTGGGCAAGTGCTGTTAGCGAACACCTATGAAGGCCGGCACGGTACACGAGGGGGTGGGGTGCCCAGCACCACACCTGGCCGCCTTTGTCTCCCAAGTGGCAAGGATTACAATCCACACCAGGTACTCATTTGAGGTCGAGTCGACAGAGGGAAGAGGCCTACAAGAAGTTCAGATAATCGTCATTGGTGTTTGCCGTGAGTGGGAATTGAACTCGGGTCGCCGGGTTCGTAGTGCAAAGCGCTAACTGTTACATTACATTCTAGATTTGAAGCTTTCGTGACTGCAAGGATTCATACTCCTTTGGTTTTTTTGGTAAAGTCACGTAGATTAACCTATCACGTAGGCTAACCTACGTGACTTGACCGAAAAAACCAAAGAGTATGTTACACTACACCCACATATTAGGCACTAGCAAGAGTATATACGATATATAACCAATTGAGTTAGGTCACGTAATGATTTCACAACAACAGTGTTACTTCCCACTACTAACGCAGCCCAAAGACAGTAGTGTCACATGTACAAGCGTTTAAACCACCACTTATTGTTTTAGCTCGCAGATAAATTTAAGAAAAATCTCACAAAAAATTATAAATTAGACATGATTTTTCATTTGAAACTACATCAAACATCCGGAGAAGATCCAGGAAGCCAGCATTACCATAGCACCTGACCATACTTTTTAAATAGGTCATGACTGCCAAAGATTTGGTCAAGATCATTACATGACATAACCCAAAATATAGCACGAATCATAATAGCAGTTGGCCTGCAGCAACATTGGCGGCATTAAATGTTTGCTACCTGCTACAACATATTTGGTGATATGCTTTCATTTTCTTAAACCAATAGGGAAGTTCATTGGAGGTTGCTATAATTGGACTTTTCTTTAGACCCTTCAGGCAGCCTCCTTCCTGTTTATTCACCATCCCTTCTTGTGTAGGCACCATACTTTCCTATTTAGGCTCCACACCTTACTTTGTAGGCCCTGACCCATTTCCTCTTTGGGTCCCACCCCTCTCCTCCATATGGACAGACTTTCGGCGGGTTTTGGGCTTGTTTTTTTAAAGGCAGCGCCACATTTTTTCCTGAGTCTTGGCAACTGTGGTCTAAAATTTAAGTTGATTGGAGTAAGACGGCACATGTGGATAGCGTATGCAGCTGTAGGCAGTGGTGGGGCGGGTTCATGACCATGACAACCAAAACTCTCCAAAAACAGCAATATCAGATTTTCCCGCACCTTCGATTAGCACCGTTGGTGGCTACGTAGGACGCACATACAACAGATTGGGACTGCGAAAACCTACGTGTTAAGCACAAATATGCCCAAACAAATGAGTGGGTGTTGCAGCTCAAGAGAAGCATGACGCAGTACCTGGTTGCTGCGCTGCACCTGTGCATGAGGTCCTCCTCTCGGCTGCTCTGGCGGCTGCTGCAACTGCTGCTGGGGCTGTTGGTCCCGAGGTCCATGTGCCGGCTCATCTGGATTGCGTAGCAGTGGACCACGGCGCTCCTCCGTGTCCGAGTGTTGCCTGAAGGCGCGCGCGCACACATGCACGTTAATTTCACGTAAATACACAAGCACTAAACCATGTTAACATTATTATAATGACAAGTGTTTACCCAGGAAAATCTCAAGGGAGTCTGAATATTCTCTTTTAGGAGGGTCCTCCCAAGATTTTACACTAGGGGGGCCATGTTGCTGTGTAATCCAAATTTCATAATTTGCAGGTGATTTTTCAGCATTAGGATGTTTGGCCAATGCCAGCTACATTGTATGTTTTTTTTAAGTTATGGAAGGGTGAACCCAGGAAGAAACCAATACAGGACAAAGGGGGGAGCATCATAAACTCCACAAAATGGCACCAAAGTTGAGAATTGAACCCAGGGACTACCTGCTGTCAGGTAGAAGTGTTACCACCGTACCGAAAACTTAGTCATGCCGCAAACTGTCATTGCAATTCTAGCTTAAGTCCTCTGATATACACATTTCTCTCTCCGATATTCTCTAATACTAACCCTAACCGCAGGAAAAAATGACCAAAAATGGTATGTGTGGCAGGTGCCAAGAACCTCGGTACTATCCCCCTCATGGTAGATAGGTACAATTGCACTTGTGGCACACCTGCAATGCAGCACTTTGGAAACGAGTCAGCGGATCACATGAATTTTTGAAACTCTCAACCCAAGGCTATAGCGATATCCATCCATCTCTTGGCTTGCCAAGATACAGTTGTACAGCAATTGGATACATTTTCATCTGTATTCAATCTGTACAGGGATTTAGTGTTTTCTACCCACAACCCCTCAAGCCCACACAAGTTTTTTTTCCAGGTCCTCTACTTTTCTCCCACATTAACACTAATTCATGGAGTTGGCCAAAGATCCCAATATAGGACAACAGCGATTGGGCAATTGTTGGCACCGGTTCTGGTTGTATTCCCGATTGTCTGTGGTTACCCAAGCCTCAATGCGAAAACTACGTGCATTACAATTTATTTAGTATGGATATTTTGCATGAATTATGCTATATATACAAATATATTAACAGCACCATTGCTACACTCTCACACCACACAGCTCAAGGGACTTTCCCCCAACCCGATGGGTAGGATTATGCCAATTTAGTTTTATGCATTACCCATTATATATTGCCATTTACAGGCCATATATCCAACAATAACAAATATCCTTCAGGCCAACTGGATTTATTTTCAATTGCAGTCAGTTCGTATGTGAAGATTTCCACCAGAGATTCCAACTCCCTCCCACAAGCAAAATTACACAAATATGAACTGGCTATAATATCACAAAACAGGACCGCCTGCAAACTGCTTTATGTGTTTAGTTAGTTGCCCTTCCCCCCACACCTCCGATTAGCATGGTTGGCTGAGTACGGTGCGAAAAAAGTACAATATAAACTCTCATTGGGACTTCCCTGAATAACGGAAGGATCCGATTCTTATGACTACTACCTTACCTGCTGACGTTGGGATGCCCCACACGGACATCGCGCTCCACCACGTGACCTTGACGGGGTTCATACGGCTCTGAGCTGGCGCTGTCGGCTCGCTCGCGCCTAGAGGTAGGTCCTGAACCCACACCAAGCACACGCACAAAGGCACACCCAATAATGGTTACTACACTCAGATCTCTTGTTGTCATGGCACTTAAGTGGCAGCTTCCTCGCCAACAGATCGAAGTGCTTAAAAACGCATTTAGAGCAGCCAGTCACTTAATTAATCGTTTTATCGCGAGGTCAGTTACTGGTAAGGGACCTAACTCCGTAATATACTGGGTGCTTGTACAATTAATACCTCCTTTTGGCAAGTCAGATTGCTTTTCCTATGGAAATAGGTTCCTGCTAAAGGAATGTGTAATTTCTACCACTGCTGAGGGCTGTTCTAAATCATGGCAATGTAATACTTTGACGGGCATTTTGAAAGGACAATTTCACCTTGGCAGAATGCCTGACATTGAGGAAATCGAGCAACTGCATTCCAAAACGGAGATCTGCCCAGCCCACTCACCTGCGGCAAATCGCATGTCCACATACGGTTGAGGAGGCCTCCGTGCATCGAACGCCTGTGGCGACGTTGGCATGTGCCGCCCGCCACCCCCCCTCCGTGATGTGGGAGATTCTGGGTCAGATATCATCCCGCTACCACCGCCGCCACCGCCGCCGCCGCCGCCGCCGCCGCCGCGCCACTGCATGGAAGAGGCCGGATCGGGGCCAACGACACCACCGCCCATAACCCCTCTCCACTGAGGAGGCTGGCTAGATGGGTCCGGTAGACCGGCTGACCGCCACTGAGTGGGCTGGCTCTGGTCTTGGGGACCTGCAGAACCTCCCCGCCACTGATTGGGCTGGCCTGGGTCAGGGCCCTGCTGCTGCCATTGCTGCCACTGCTGCTTCAGAAGCTGCTCCTGTCGTCATACAGAAGAAAAGCAAGCAACACAAACAAAGTGTTAGCAAGGTGGAAACATTGCTTCTTATTGAACAGTAATGACATACCATTATGGATTTTTTTTATTTACCTCTGTGCATTGGGTTCCATAGACTAACATGGAGAAATTCCCACAATGTATTGTTCATAGTGACACATCCAGGACAAAGAGGCTCCCCCCCAGTCTGCGGAATCTGGTAAGTGCTGTACCGACACACTTTTAATTATACAATCATTCTTCTTCTCTTTTGAAAACGTCATTTATCTCCTAGATCATTAATACGTTTCTTATCTCCTTTTTATTGCATCTAATCATACATCTCTCATCTGACATCCATATCGTACTTCTGTCTGCTTAATACATCTCTTTTTAGTTTTTTTTATCTCATCGGAACACATCTCCAATAATGTCTCAATACACATCCGATAAACGCCAGCTTGTATCATATTTAAATACATTTTATGGCTCTTCTACATAATGTTAATTTATATTTCTCAAAATCAACTCTTTCTTATATCAGGTCTGAATATCGCCATCTATTTTAATGTGTTTGAATAGATCTTCTCTTCCATCAGCCAGCTCCTCTGTATACATCTACCATCTCTCTTCTCTTAACCAAATACATATTTTACCTCTCCTATCCATCCTGATTAAACCTATATTCAAGTTATACCATGGTTTCCTGCCACACCTACATACATATCTCTAAATCTGTCTACATATCACAGAATTCACTCATCCACAAGCTGCCATTTCAACACATTGCTATCTCTTATGCACATCTATCTGCTTAATAGATGTGCCTTAATTACATAAATTCTCCAAAATAAGCCTCATCTTTTATCTCATATCTATTGTCTCGCTCTCATCTCGCTATATCCATCTTTATTGCATCTCACCTAGCCAATGATGAATCTCACACCGTACGTCTAATAACTACATCCTTTGGTCTCAACCTCCTCTTTCTCATTTGACTACACAACTATTAACATCTCATTTCAGCACGTTACTTTGCTCTTATCCTTGGCTCACTTCTATTTAACGTCACACCTTAACTATATACTTCACTATTTGGCTTAGAATTCAAATACGGCTGTAAAACGAAGTGCGTATTATTCAGAAGGATATAAGTGCTATCTGGTTTACTCCTAGAATGGAGGTAAAAGACTTGGCGCGTACCTGTGAGATCACCAAGCCTAGTTGTGACAATCATAATTTTTGCTAAAACTCACGTCTGGAGGCTCGTATTAAAAGTTCAAATGTTCATCCACAAAATAACCATTTGCTTTATTTTGCGATGCCTCTCCCTTCGACACAGGAAAACAAATTCCCCACGTGCATGTTACCTGCTGTTGACGCTGGAAGCGCGGGGGGAGCGTCTTATGGTAGGTCTTGGCCCCAGCATGAGTATGCGCGTGTGCATGAGGGAGCGGGGCGCTCTCTGATCGGGGCTGCGTCTCCTCGCTCTCCTGGCGGACAAACGTGGGCCGTGGCTCTGCAGACAATAACCAAGCACCATCAGACAAAGCACACACCGATACCTCCTTTCAACTGTCCAAAAATAGTCATCCCTGGGACATGCAGAGCAGGCCCAATGTGGCTCAGGTTGTTTAATCCACTCCAGTAGCAAAGCCGTGTCGCCAACATCACACGCAATGACACCCTTGTCATAACCCTAATAGGCCCAATGTCAAATTAAAATGTTTTGTGAGCCTAACTCAGCAAGGCAAATCGCCAGTGTACTGCCACCCGTACCTTGAGAGCCCTGCGCTGTCTAAAATGTGCCAAGGAAAAGGAGTCTCCATTTCCTTCCATATTCAGAGATGCAACTTAAAGGTGACTGGGTGGCTCAGAACACCACCTCTTCCTTAACCTCATTAAATCCACCTAAGCCTAAAGTACAGCTCCATGAGATACGAATCTTCTTTACAACGGGATTGGACATTTTTGTAAATGGCTAAAGGCCGTCAATGCAGATGGGTGCCACCCCACTGCGTATATGAGAATGGAGACAATTAGATTGATAATAAGCTTCCAAGGTGAAACATCTGGCCTGAAACACAAAAAAGCAGCAGCATGCAGTAGGAACGCACTTGGCAGTGCAGTGTGCAGAGGGGATTTACAGAAGCACAGGTCTCAGAAAAAACCTCATCGCAAATGTGTCAGCCACTACCTGGGTGGTGCTGCGGTGGGGCCGCGGTGGGAGAACGGCTGTCCCTACGCCGCCGCTTGCTCGGGCCCTCACCATCACGCCACTCCCCGCCAGGTGGCCCTGCTCGGCCACCCACAGCGCTCGGTTCCACCATGACCTCGCCTTCGGCCACCGCATGCCGCTTTTCCGTGCTAACCCTGGCCCCAGCGGCGCTCTCGGCCGTCGCCGTCCCCACAGGCCCAACAGGATGGCCCGTGCCGACTATCGGTGCAGCTACTGGGGGTGCGAGCGGCCCGCTCACTCCTCCACCGGGCCCGCCATCGCTTCCCGTTGGTGAGGCCGCAGTCCCAATGGGGCCGACCCGAGTCACCGCCTTCGCTCCAACCGCTGGGCCCGAGAAGGGAACCGACGCAGCATCAGCTGTTGGTGGTACAGAGGTGTCACTGCCAGCACCCACAGTCCGTCCAACGGTACCAATTGTCCCCCCCCTGGGCCTGCGGTCGTCCACCGCCACTCCCCTGGGTTGGTCATGGTCACCACCGGCACTCCGAACGATGCCGCAGCCACCACCGCCGCTGTCGTCGTCGTCGCCGCCGTCGAGTCTCGGGCCGGCATTGCCCCGGCCATCATTCCTTGTGACGATTCGTAGAGGTGGCCCACGCGTGCTTGGTGCGTGACTCCCGTTAGCTGTCGAATCTGAGTCGGGGGTGGACGAATTATCGGTATCGACTGTGCTCGCAGCGACACAATCTTTGGCTGCACCTAAGTTCAAAACAGGCGTGTCGAGCAGCGGGGAGGCACAACCTCCACTCATTGCTGATGATACGATCGCTGTTGCTGGAGTCGAGGCCGCTTCCGCAGAAACTTCTCCCCCAACTGGTGCAACAGCCCCACCTGCCAAATGCCCGGCGTCCCCCACACTTGGGACGGCATCATCCGTGGTTGTGCCCAGAGTGGCTTCGTCTCCCACGGTAGCAGCCATGTCCACACTCAAGGCCGTCTCCCTCACGCCGAAAGCCGCCGCTGTGACTGAAGGCGCCGATGCCGCCGCCGACGATGCTGGCACGGCGCTAGGCCCGTCCTCAGAAACGGTGTCTTCGCCAGTGCTGTTACTGGCCCCGCCGACGGTGGGAGCAGCCCCGGCTGCCGTTGCCGTAGCTCCACCGCCGCTGCCAGCCGGAACGCTGGCGGCCATCTTGCTTTCTAGCAGACGCAGCTTCTGAGCGCAGGCTGCCAGACGCTCCTCCTCCATCCTCTTCTCCTCGGCCGCCCTGCGCTGTCGGGCTCGCTCCACCGCTGCCGACACCTCTGCGCTGCTGCCCCACGTGCCCCCGCCTGCACAATGGGCATCGGAAGCAAATACCTTTTACAAAATAACTAATTTCAGCATTATTTTCTTGCACAAGGTCTGTGCATCTAATACTCTGTACCCTCAACAATTATTTTAATACAACTTTACAAAAGTCAATGCATTTCCTTGCTTACACAGGTGCTGGGCGGCATTTGCCGAATAGCAGCCGAGCCAATGAATATTCCACATTACATTGACAGAAGCCAGTCTCTCTATAGGACAGCGACTGTTTACTTCGGGGAAAAAATGGTACTTGTTTTATGCAGCCCAGGGTTGTGAGGGGTGCAACTGCATTAAGATGTATCAAGATGCATTGTAAAGGCCTGCCTCTATGTGGAGCTGTTCCATGAGGACCATCCGCAGCCACAGGGCCACCTTGCTGATCACGGCGACGGTTGCGCCACGCCTCATCATCTGAGCCCCCGATAGCAGGTCCTTGTGGGGGAACAGGTATGGGTTGGGGCCCAGGACCCTTGAGGAGGCCTGGACCCTGGTTGGGCCCGGGACCCTGGTGAGGCCCGGGACCCTGTTGGGGCCCGGGACCCTGTTGGGGCCCGGGACCCTGTTGGGGCCCGGGACCCTGTTGGGGCCCGGGACCCTGTTGGGGACCGGGACCCTGTTGGGGACCGGGACCCTGTTGGGGACCGGGACCCTGTTGGGGACCGGGACCCTGTTGGGGCCCAAGACCCTGTTGGGGCCCGGGACCCTGTTGGGGCCCGGGACCCTGTTGGGGCCCGGGACCCTGGTGAGGCCCGGGGCCCTGGTGAGGCCCGGGGCCCTGGTGAGGCCCGGGGCCCTGGTGAGGCCCGGGGCCCTGGTGAGGCCCGGGGCCCTGGTGAGGCCCGGGGCCCTGGTGAGGCCCGGGGCCCTGGTGAGGCCCAGGACCCTGGTGAGGCCCGGGGCCCTGGTGAGGCCCGGGGCCCTGGTGAGGCCCGGGGCCCTGGTGGGGACCGGGGCCCTGGTGAGGCCCGGGGCCCTGGTAGGGACCGGGACCCTGGTGGGGACCGGGACCCTGGTGGGGACCGGGGCCATGGTGGAGACCGGGGCCATGGTGGAGACCGGGGCCATGGTGGAGACCGGGGCCATGGTGGAGACCGGGGCCATGGTGGAGACCGGGGCCATGATGGGGACCAGGGCCATGATGGGGACCAGTGCCCTGATGCAGCCCGGGACCCTGGTGGAGACCCTGGAAATTTGCTGGACCCTGGTGGGGACCCAGGTGGAGCATAGGGCCCTGATGAGGCCCTGGACCATGGTGCAGAATAGGACCCTGAAGGTGCCCTGGACCTTGGTGGGGCCCTCCCAGATAGCGCTGCAGAGGACAACGGGACAGAGTGAAGATCACACAGCTGGCGTGAGGTAAACGCAAGCTGGCAGCCAAGGGCAAGGCAGCCTGGGTGCTCACGTCCATACAATCATAAACTCGTTTCAATTATAAACCTTCATAGCTGTTATTATTTTTCCGAGTACATATTTTTTAATATTTCCTGAAATTTTACAGTTTAAATGATAGGCTCAGCTGACTGCCGTTGCGAGATTTTAACGCTCAACTTTTAGATTGCTTGGTCACGCACTCAAAATGCCACCTGTCCGGATTATTAGGATACAACTTCTTACTGCTGCAGACTGTGTGCTCGGCCATGTTGCCCAAGTCTATTTCACTTATACAATGTATGACGACACTTTTCATGCAAAAATTTACGCATTTTATTTGTAACTGCGAGGAATTAAATTTGCAGCAGAGTGCAAGCTGGCATGACCAATTAATACCTGTTGATTGACATTGAGGGCAGGGGGCCCCCTTGGGCCTGCTAAGAGCGGCTGAGGAACCACGATAGGGGGACCTCCCCTGTGCTCATGACCCCCACGCATGGGATCCCGTGGCGGCTGATGTTGACTCCACGATGCCTGCAAAGGGAAATATAATGTAGCCATATATAACGTGCCGCAATGCTTACCCAGTTAAAAACATGTCAGCCAGCCTAATGGTAAATAAATATCTAACTGGGCAGTGGAAAACTCAATCAAAAGGTGAATTAATTCAAACAACACAGCCTTCTAAGCCCAACCATGAAGAATCTGAACCAATGGCCGACTGATACTTGGAGAAAGTTCTGGTTGATAGAATATATTATTACCAGCACGATGCAATGAAAGACAATGGGGTTAAGCACCATACATACCTCATTACATTTATTTGTGGAAATAAAAAGGGCTCCATAATATACGTTTTCTGGGTTAGATCGCGTAAATATAAATGTGTCGTTAAAGCCTCGACCACCCGACACAACCAATTAGTAAGGTGTCACGTAAACAGAACATGCCAATTTGTTACGAGTACAGCATACCTGTGTGTTGGAATGCATGTTCTGTTCACGTGACAAACCTTACTAATTGGCTGTCGGGGAGGTGGCGGGTTTGACGACACACTTATATTTACGCGATGTAACCCAAAAAAACCTATATGATGGATATTGATCGCGACAGCCTACGTGTTAAAATGAAAATGTCTGTAAATTACATCCCCATGAGGGTCATGATGGATGTTTACCTGGCCATACTTCACTATCCTGGACAGTGCAGGTTGAAGGCAGGGAGCATAGACATGAGGACATAGCAGCAGTGTTTTGCTGCGCTGCCCTCTGTTGCTGACAAAGTGGTACTAATGTAATCCTGCAAATAAGGATGATGGGCTGATTGCACCCTCCTGGAACAATGTTCTGATTGTGAACCGAGCACCTCGCCAGATTGTCATGACACCTCAATCTCAATACACAAATGACCACTCTATAGCCTTATAGACTACTGGTGTTATTGATGTTAGCAAGCACTTAGGAAGGCTGGCACAGTGCACAAGGGGGCGGTGTGGCCAGCAATATTCCCAGTACTGAGGTTTACACACTGTACCAGGTATTCATTAAGGCTGAGTGGACCTACTGGAGGCCCAGCGTCAGTTCAGATAACCACCACGTATGTTAGCTGTGGCCGGGAATTGAACTCAGATCGCTGGATCTATAGCACAATGCTTGAACCACTACACTACAAGCCCCCATCCAAAGACAAGATCCCTGTATAGCCTTAATAGGCTGATGGGGAAAGCGCTGCTAGCAAGCACCTATGAATACCGGCATGGCACACGAGGGGGGGTGGGTGGCCAACATCACGCCCGGCTGCCTTTGTCTTCCCAGTGTTAACATTTACACATCACACAACGTACTGATTTAAGGCAGAGTCAATATAGAGGAGGCCCAGGACTGGTTAAAATAATCACGAGTGTTGGCCTTGTGCGGGAATCAAACTCTGGTGGACAGGTTCATAGCGCAGCATGACAGCCACTACACCAACTGCTCCCCAGCAATATACACACACAAATGAATGTCCGCGTGTGCACATGCGCACACACACACACACACACCGGGTGTTGTGGCCGCGGCCTGACAGGAGCATCTCCCCAGTTGGCCGAGCCAGGCCCAGACGGAGGGGGGGAGGGGGCAGTATCTCCCCAGCTCGTAGACACAGCTCCAGATGAGGCATCAGAGCCACGAGCAGCCCCCCCTTCGGACACAGCTCCTGGACCCGCACTGTCAGCCCTGGTGAATAATGACAATCACAATCGCGGGTCAAAGCATCACCTCTTCTGCAATGTTGTGTGTGTGTGTGCGGGCCTTTTGTCAATCCACTCCTCTACGACAGCCACCCCACAACGTGCGGGTTGTGGGAGTTAGTTTAACACGTAGGCTTGTTAGAGTTACTTTGACATACTTCACCACGCAGGTCAGTGCAAGGTGATTAAGGTGGGGAGCATAGGCAGTGGAGCATAGTTCAGTACAGCAGAGCACATGATTTTGCTGCACTAACCTCCGCCGACAACTTGGCCCCACAGCAGCCAACTACACCTGTTTTGTGTGGTGGTCACCCATCCAAGCACAAGTCAGGCTCCACTCTGCTTAGCTTCTGAGATCTAACGAGATCGGTTGTATTGGGGGCGATTTGCTCACAAGCGCTGTAACGTTAGGTAGCACTAATCTTCATGGTTAAGTGGACAGTCGACAGTAGAAATCCGCGTTCCCACAAGGGAGAGGACTAGTCATGGCGGTACAACCAGTAAAGTGTTCCTATCAAAGTGGTGCAGCCTCAGCAGGTGGTGCTTGTTTACAGACCTTGAAGGGACAGTGGGGCAGTTGACTCTCCAGGCATTGAACTCATGACCTTAATCAAACCATGTGTTGCCGTGATATGGCTATGCAATGAGGCATAATATGCTGTAGGGTCCAATATATTTGTATTTTACACTTTGCAAAATATCATTGCCATAATGAGCGTAGCTCAATTTTGTTAAAATATATATAATTTAAAAAAATGTGAAATGACAAATTAAAGTGCAAAATAAATATTACCCATGAAATGAGTCCTTAAACAACATTTTTATGGAGTAATCTTGATGGTATGGTGATTATATGTCTTTGAAGTTCATTGTCTAATGATACTTATACCTAAGGAAGGCTTATGTTGAGCGAATTTCAATTGAAGAACTTTTAAGCAATCTTTATTTGTACAGCAAAGCACAAAAAAACAATACAATAAAATTGTATAATACAAATTACAAAGGTATGGGAAACCGATATCGCGATAATCGTCAGGGAAACATTTGATCATATTTTGACAAATTATATCGCGGCAATCCTACTCAAAACAAGGTCACAGTGTCTCCCCTTCTCATGCAAGAACAAGGGTGCAGCTCATCTCCTTTGGTGGCCCTGAGCCAGTGGTGGCAAATCCACTTTGACAACCTAAGACTTTGCATAATCGTTAAAAGGTGGCCACAAAATTCAAATTGATGGAAAAAGCAAACAAACATCTGTATATCTGGCAAGCCAGGTGAAAAGTCATCATGAGCATGGCACACTTTTTTTAACAACAAAATTTTGAATTAATAAAGTGTCTTAATGCACCCGACTTCTCAAAATGCTGTACATACACAGTGGCACATGTAAACGAGGCATATACACACACACACACAAACGTTTTGGAAGAGAAAAGACAAGACAGTCATGATGCAGTTGAGGTCTTGAGAGTCTGGACTTAAATAAGGAGTCAACAATATGTAGGCCAGTGGGAAGGAGTTCCAGACTACAGGGAGTAGTAGCAAAGCAACCTCCCACACAGCAACCAGTTGATGTTTCAACAAAACAGGCTTCACCATTAAAATAATGCAAACTGTCCAGACCAAATGTCAACTTAACCTACACTCCCCTCCTTGGCGGTTGCTCCTCCTTACTGCCACTGCTATCAGAAACTCCATTCTCTTTATTGTTCATCCCAACATTCAAGTTCTTGTTCAAACCTCCATATTCCCCTTCTATACGGTTTACTGCATTTTCCTTTGTAACGTGCTTATCACTCATTCTTACTGCACTACTATAGCCTCCCCTCATCTTCGCCTTATAGCTCCCAACATATTCTTTAAATTACCTTTTTCACTTGCGATACAAATTTAAATTGTATGATAGTGACTTTAAGGAAGATGCAAACCAAAAACCAAATAGCTGTTTTTTTCTGGGGGGAAAAATCCCACTTACAGTTAGGGTACTCCATTTTAGTTCTCTAGTGATGTTGTAAAGCGTATAGGGAAGTATGACATCCCAGTTACATAAGCAGCATTGAAAGCTATTTGTTTGAGTTGCATCTTCCATTACCAATGCATTAAACACGTCAGCTCATTAAATCAATGACATTAAGGATGAAGACAATCGGGTAGATCACTCAAATAAGTGTGCTTTCCGAGTGCGTCAGCGTGCAAGTAAGAGAACACGTCCACTTGCAAGTGTGTAGAACTCCACTGCACGTGGCACAGTTTGCCGTCCCACTATCAGCGCATGCGCAACGCACAGCAGCTTGTGCGCGTGTGTAACTCACCAAGACCGTGTGCTCCCGCCCCTTTCCTCATCTTCATCGTCACTGAATTTCAGCTTCTCCGTGTAGTCGACCTCATCCTGCACACCTGCACGAGCATGGACAAAGCCACTTTTAAGTTATGAAGCCAGGGACTATACTGTTTAAGTAATAACAATGTAGAGGGTTTCGATGTAGAGGGTATCAAGATTATGCGGTTACCACATTGAAATACATGAGAAACTCTCACTTCAATTAGTGTTTTTTCTGTGGGAGGAATCTGGAGTGCCATTGTTCTGAATTATCTCACGGCCGTGTTTACCAGGGAGGTGTACACCCTAAAAATATGTCTGCAAAGTATCGCGTAAAATGGGCAACAATCTGTTTACAACAGCGGCTACAACCAGATCAATGAAAGTAATTACGAAGGAGTGGGATTCTAAGTCTTTCTGCGATTCAAAAAAGTTTAGGATTCGAGTAAAGTATGATGAAGAGAGGAAAAACTGAATAACTACTTGCAGAAAGTCAAAATTCCTAAATACACTGGATGTGAAGGTCTTTTTTTTCTTAAAACTGATTATTGAATAGTAATTGGAGTATTATTTACATGTTTGCGTCTTAAGTGTGCGCGCACAATGGCTTTAATTTTTTCATGCACTAACTTTTTCCCCACGCCGAACCAGAAAATGGCACTAACAAAAAGCCTGAATAAATAGCAAAAGGGTACGGATTTTGTAATAACTACATAATAGCAAGCACAACTAAAAACAGAGCTTCCATTTAATATAAACATCATATTCACGTGGATGAAAGATTAGAATAAATACAAGATATCCGATGACATAATATCTACATGGAGAAGAAACGATAAACCGCTGCCTATTTCTCATCGCACAAAAGGAAGACACTCATCTGTTGGCGGCCATGCACTAGTGGAATAAACTGCACGTTCCAATAACAGTACCAGTCTTCCAGTAGGGTAACCACTGTATTAAAGCACATTTTTAAATATAAAAAGGTACATATCCAGTGCATTTAAGTCATGGGACAAACTGGGTAAAAAGACATTCCATCCATTCTCAATCCACTGATGGATTAAACCTCCCCATGCAATGTCAGGTCATGAGGTTTTTAGTACCATACTTTACAGCGATGTCAGTGCGTATTTGCGAATAGAGGGGCAGGCATAGGACCGGTTCTGATATCACACACGCCATGGCTGGAAATTGAACTCAGGTCGCCGTGTCCATAGTGCAGCGTGCCAACCGTTGCATCACCGCTCAAACCTCAACTTCCCGTTGCCAAAAAAAATTAATTGAAAATCTAAATTGTCATGAGTGAGTGAAGAAAGTGCGCACCAGCCCAGCCATCATCAGCATCTGTGTCCAGGGTGTCCAGCTCCTTCAGATCATTTGCTTTCACGATGGACGGCCGGTCAGCTTCTGCGAGCCAGGGTGGCCGTGCTCCACGTCTGAGGATACACAGGGGCACATGCAGAGCACATGTAAACAGCACACACTTTGATCATTATCTGTGTATTGATAGTTCAACGTTAATGCGCCACTTTATTGAGGGACTGCGTGTTCTCTTGGCATGGCCTGGGACGGTGTTGTTTTTTCTGCCTTGCCAAATCTTAATAAATCTCACTGGCATAAATAAATCATGACTTTGTTCATTACTTATATTTAGTGACTTCCCTACCATTTTCTCTATTTTGCACTCCTATTTTTTTTTATTGTTTGCTGTTGTAACTGTCTGACCCGCCCACACTGGACATCTATGAAAAAGAGCTTCATAGCTCATCGGATTTATCCTACAGTCTAAATAAATATTATGATTCAGAGTATACGAAAATAATGCAAATACACACATTAAATGCACACAACCACATATAGGTCAAATACGATGAACATGCATACTGCATGTGTGCACAGGTTGCTGCAATATGATACAATACATCGTATAATATGATCCACAATAATTGCATCGTGTGTTTTGCAAAATAGTTATATCATACTTAAAATAAATGTTTTCCCATATTTTACTTCCTGACAAAATATTCCTGAAATAAAAGCATAATAACATTCCAATTAAACAGATTTTTGAAGCAACTGACTGGCATGGCGATTATAACATCTCATAATTTTCTAAATGTATTCAATGATTGCCTGTGTAATTGACAGCATGTCCAACAAACGTTACGTTTTAAAGGTGCAGTAATAAAATACTTATAACTTTTAAGTGATCTTAATCTTATGGCAAGTGCAAAGCACAAAAATAAAGTTAAATATGAAATTATGGGAAACTGGTATCACCAATTATTGTTTTAATTATTTTTTATTTAGCAGGTAAGGCCCACTGAGCTATGTAGCTTATCATGTGGAAATGTAAAGCAGCCAAATACTCTAAACGGACGACCTGGAGAAAAATCCATGCGACCACTGAGAGAACATGCAAACTCCAAATATACATGCGTCAGGATTGAGCCCACGACCTGCTACATACCAGGTGAGGTATTTACAATATTGTGGGAAAATGATATCTGAACACATACAGACCGTGCACCAGAGGTGGGACAAAGTCATTGTTATGCAAGTCCAAGTCGAGTCTGAAGTCATCAAATTCATGACTCGAGTCTGACTCGAGTCCAAGTCACATGACTCGAGTCCACACCAGCTCAGAGGTGGGACAAAGTCATTGTTATGCAAGTCCAAGTCGAGTCTGAAGTCATCAAATTCATGACTCGAGTCTGACTCGAGTCCAAGTCACATGACTCGAGTCCACACCAGCTCAGAGGTGGGACAAAGTCATTGTTATGCAAGTCCAAGTCGAGTCTGAAGTCATCAAATTCATGACTCGAGTCTGACTCGAGTCCAAGTCACATGACTCGAGTCCACACCAGCTCAGAGGTGGGACAAAGTCATTGTTATGCAAGTCCAAGTCGAGTCTGAAGTCATCAAATTCATGACTCGAGTCTGACTCGAGTCCAAGTCACATGACTCGAGTCCACACCTCAGAGGTGGGACAAAGTCATTGTTATGCAAGTCCAAGTCGAGTCTGAAGTCATCAAATTCATGACTCGAGTCTGACTCGAGTCCAAGTCACATGACTCGAGTCCACACCTCAGAGGTGGGACAAAGTCATTGTTATGCAAGTCCAAGTCGAGTCTGAAGTCATCAAATTCATGACTCGAGTCTGACTCGAGTCCAAGTCACATGACTCGAGTCCACACCTCAGAGGTGGGACAAAGTCATTGTTATGCAAGTCCAAGTCGAGTCTGAAGTCATCAAATTCATGACTCGAGTCTGACTCGAGTCCAAGTCACATGACTCGAGTCCACACCTCAGAGGTGGGACAAAGTCATTGTTATGCAAGTCCAAGTCGAGTCTGAAGTCATCAAATTCATGACTCGAGTCTGACTCGAGTCCAAGTCACATGACTCGAGTCCACACCTCAGAGGTGGGACAAAGTCATTGTTATGCAAGTCCAAGTCGAGTCTGAAGTCATCAAATTCATGACTCGAGTCTGACTCGAGTCCAAGTCACATGACTCGAGTCCACACCTCTGCCGTGCACATCAATTCAAGTCAACACACACAAGTGCCAGATTCATACATAACCTCACCTGCCATCAGGCTGCTGTGCTGCAGGGTAGGCCCGGCCACCAGGTGGTGGCCCAAACCTGGGCCCAAACGGCGTACCGTCCTGTGGCAAACAACGCAACAAGACTATTTTACAATTACCGCTCAAAGAGCACTGCCCTACCCCATACATTTTTTTTTTTTAATCGGTGAGGATTCACTGAATACAGGTTTCACCATGGCTGACAATCAGCCAGGTAGCACTGTGGCAAAGCCCTCAAACTGCCAACCGAACAGCCAATAGTTCACAACTCCTGGTTTGAGTTTGACTTGGTCCACCAACTTCCTTCCTGGGTCAATGAAACGGACATCACCTTGCGTGATTTCAACAGCGGTCGTACTGAGGAGAACCGCGAATGCCAAAGGAATAGGGCATTTTCCCTTGTAGCTTCGGGCTGCCAATGGGGATGAGCACTGCCCTACGATCAATTGCGCATCTAGGCATTTGCTGTTTTTATACAAAAGAAAATAAAACCAATTTAGCACGACATATTTGACTAAAAAAGACATTTAAAGCGAGACCTAAATATTGCAAACCGTATTTCACTACAAAACAGGATTATTCTTTTACATAAAATCTGCAATTTTGATGGCAAATCTCTCATGTGTTGGTAGGTTGCAACAGCATGTTTTTTGCCATGAGGTCTGAAGTTTCGTGCCCGACATCGTGCCCAACAGGCGGCACAACCCCAAAACACATCGGGCGCACTATAAAGCGCAACCCCAACGCAGTTATATTCAAGCACCGAGCATCGGCACGACCATCAAGAACGGGTGATCGCTTAAATGAAACAAACGTACAGCATGCAAGGTAAGTGCACGTACCGGGCGATATCCAGCAGCATGAGTAAGGGGACCCCCGTTGGGGCCCCCCATGGTGGGGATGGGCAAAAGCCCTGCACTGGGGCCTTCCTCTCGCCCGCCCGGACCCCCACCCTCACGCCAGCTGCTTACATCTGAATGTGCATACACACACATACACAGCCAGTCCATTATTCTCAATGCACTCAGTGCCAACTCAACCGCCTGATTCATGCGTTGGCAAGGGCGGTGTCAATCTCAGCAACAAAGGCCTTCTTTGGGAATCATGCCAATTATACCATGTTCCGTGAAACACCCAAATTTGCCGGGATGCAATGCAACCAGGAGATGGCAGCACAACAAGTTGGTTCCTGACCAATTTGTGCAGCTCTTCATACATCCATGGGTTTTGTAAATACTCAGACCCCCCTCCCCCCATGTTAAAATTGGTAATTGCACAAAACATTTAAATCGGCCAGCTGAACTTCAGTCTTCCTTGAACAAGACACGTTGTATGAAGAAACATCCAGTCACTCCTCTGCTGCCATCAACGTCTGGAACTCCTTCCCCTTGGCTGCCGACTCCCTCCCCCCCGTTCAAGTCCAGGCCTATTAAGATCTCTCCTTTGTTCTGCTCCTCCTTTAACTGCAAGCCTTTCCTAAATCAGTGTCATCTCTATCTCCCTTAATGTACAGCGGACTTATTTTCTCCACTAGATACCCTGCTAGCCTGTCTTTTTGTTCTTGGTTTTCTGGATGCACGTATTCCCTCTAAGTCATATTTAGTCACTATGAATAAAAAAATTAACTATAAATTCAGGCAACATTTATCAGGGATGAAACTGACAAATATCAGAAAATAATGCTGCCTTTCTGCCAAAACATGAAGCCTCAAATTCTTTCTTGAGGCTTTGGAATACTGGGATAAAAGTTGACTTCGAACAATGTTTCCAGTGCATCTGTGTGTGGCTCCAACTCACGAAGTAATATCCTTCTCAAAATGACCGTTAAGGCACTGCACATCTCCTGTTAACAGCCCTGAGGCAGGAATAGAAGTTCTACATTCCGATGAGAGGATCGAGCATATCCATGGGGAAAATCACTGTTGACTTCCCCACAAAGTGATACAAGTTATGTCGACCCCAAACGGATGATAGGCCGAGTAACTCCCCAACCAGGATTTCAAACTCACAACCTTTTGAGCCAAGCCACTTGGCAGTTGCGTGGATTCCTGGAAACTCACAGTTGTGCATGTCAGTGTGCGTGCGTGCATATGCATGCATGTGTGCAAGTACGCACTCTGTGGGCGGAGGTTTAGTGCGCGCCCAGACGTAGCGTCGGAGGGAGGGGCCGGGACCTGCTCCCCACCCGCCCCCAGCGACGGGAATTCCCTCTGGGAGAGTTGAGCCAGGCCGCCCACTCGTGCTCCAACTGCATTTGGCAACACAGCAGGCCACTTCTCAGCACAACAAAGGGGGATCTCGGATTGAATGCCACACACCTGGGTCTCTGGTGTAGGCCAATAAGTTTCAAAGACGATGCATATATTATCAGAGCGTGTTTGTTTGCATTTTTTCCCACAAGCATGTGTGGTGAATGCAGACTTGATGCTTTGAAGTAGGTATCTGTTTAGGGTTTGAACATCTTAACCTCCTGTTTTATTGCCAGGAAGGTTAAAGCCTATTTATTTTCCCAATAATTTTGATACTGGCAAAAAAGGTTCCAATAGATACATTTGTCTTGTTTCCACTCCCTCATGTTTCATCTTATTAGCCAAAAATCATTATATTATGCATTTCCTAAATATAATGCTCACAAACACACAATTGGCACAAGCCTCTTAAGCTTAAGAATCAATAATTTAACCTATCCAACTAAGGTTGAAACTCTTTATTATTTGCTTTGTCCATCTAACTTGCTGTTTGTAAAAGCAAAGTAATTATCTTAAAGGTGATCCAAGTCTCCCATAAAACAGTACATTTTAGTGTCAATGAGCTTTGAAATTTGTTTTTAAATGTCTCCATCCAAGTCATGTCAAGACCATAAAAAAAAATGCAAAAACCTTGCTAACTAATTCCAAACCATCATTCATCATCACCATCAGCTACCATCTATCCACTGCAGGATGAAGGCCTCCTTACACCATCACCAACAGTCATTGTCCTGCAATGCCAGAATTAATCCCATGCCTGCAGAGTAACGGACCTCATCGCTTCATATACACAATTGTCAACCTCTGCTTTGGCTGCTATCCCATCACCCAAGTTGGCTATTTTTTTTTAAACAATGTTTCTAATTTTGATTAGTGCCCCGATCCACGCCCCACCTTTAGATCTCTCAGGTGTAATTTCAAACACCTGTGTCGCTATGCTTATTTTTTAACACATTTTAGCTATTGCTCCATTAACCATCAGTGTATGGTAAATCATAGTGGGTTATATGTACCAATTTAATCACTTGTTCACGCACATTGGTATACTGCTTTTTATTTTCAAATTCAGCTTTACAAAAGCACTCCATCCGGCTACATAACACCGACCTTTATATTAACGCATTAATTCATCAGTCAAGACTAGCTGCACCTAACCTCGGGGAGTACATTCAGTTCCTCACTTAAGAACACCAGGAAAGTGAAGGTTATTTAAACAGGCACTCTCCTCAGGTTGAAAATGTAGTTCCCAAAATAGGTAAAGAAGAATAGAAACGTAATAGGGTAAAAGCCAGTCGTGAACACTAATTGGATTAACCTGAAGCAGGGTTTGCATTTAGTTCATGTGAATTAGACCATTACATTTCAGTTCATGGACCAATTGGTTGTGGTGTGTTTGCGCAAAATAAAAATACGGAATCTTCATGAACACTGCGTTTTCTATCAGAAAAATGTATATTAGGCCTATATCTTTCTCAATGGCCCTTATTGAGAACCACTGTAGGTTTCCTTATTTAACCAAGCGGTAAGATAAAACCATTGAAACATAAAACATTGCCTATCTTGCAAAAGAAAAAAAAGGTTACATGAAGAACAATTTAAGAACACAATGTTTAATAAAAATACCCAAAACATTACCCTAATGTGTATTATTCTCCTATAAGGCTGTCAAAATAATCACATTTAGCCAACTGCAGATCAGGCGTAACATGAACCGATGTCATGCTAAACACAGCTTGTGTTTGTGTACATGTATGCGTGTGTGGGGAGCGTTAGTCTAGTGCTTAGCGATGAACCCAGCGACCAGTGTTTGATTCCCCACTCATGGCCAACACCATTGACGATTATCCGAATCAGTCCTGGGCCTCCCTTCGTTCGACTCAGCCTCAAATAAGTACCCGGTGCGATCTGCATGCATCGCCACGTGATGCGGGCCACCAACCACCTCGTGTGCAGTGTCGGCCTTCATGACGTGCTCACAAACAGCACTTGTCCCATCAGCATGCTAAAGACTACACAGGGGATCTTGTCTTTGCAGGAGCCTACCTTCGACGGGCTTGGGTGCCGGTTGGGCCCAGGATCGGCTTGTGGCGGCGGGCGGGGGGGAGGTTCTGGCCACTGTGCCCCCATTCCCACCAGCTATCGCTGGGGGGCCAGTGGCCCCGCTCGTATTCACCTCTGCACTCGCAGGCGTCGTCTGTACACGCACACAAACACAAGCAGAGCAAACACCTCCGTTTAACCTCACAGTCAGTGCTGCCAGCCGTCAATAATGGGGCACGGCACACGAGGCAGCGGTGTGCCCAGCGAAATAACTGGCCTCCTCGGTGCTGATGTTGATCCACAGCACCAGGGGCCCCAAGTAGAAAATATACTCTTAAGACTTTGTAAATCCAACAAACTATTAATATAGTACGATCATGTCGTAAGCAAAAATAGATATTAAGTCCACGTAAATGGATTGCATCTTCTCTTAAAATGACACCCCAGCCTGCTGGGCAAAACTGGAAAAACTAGTAGAGGGGTTAAATAAGAACATGCCGAGTCGTAAGATTTGTTTATTCATGCACATAACGTGACTGCTCATCTGCGACGCATAAAATCCTAAGAAAAACACAATAACGTACTTATTTATTTATTATACAAAGGTGTGGCTTTAATATAATTTTGGTTAAATGAGATATATTTAGTCCGGTAATGCATTCTGATTTCCAGATCAGATTTTTGCAGTGGCTACCTATGGGTGTTGTTTGAGAAGATTTCAAAAGACCATGATCATATGGAAGTGAACTGTTTGTAGCTGTAATCCCAAGATGAAATACAACAGTAATATAATACTTTTTGCATCCAGCCAAGTTGTACTGTTGGCAGACCATTAAACTCGTAATTAAATAATGGTAAGCTGAAACATGGCGAGAGGTTAATATCATCCCTCGAGAAATCAAAATAGGTAATGAAAGTCAACTGTGGTAATATGGAAGAAACGGTTCCTGATATGATGGAGAATTTCCAAATCTCAATTAGGGCCTTCAATGGAGAAAACCACCCATTTCACAATAGACAAGGGAGACACTTTGATTATAGCATAGTTCTTATATATAACTAGTACGAGTAGGGCTTTAATGACTGAATAATAATGCACTTTTGCCGACCTCTCACTAGACTGGGTTCTCCTTGGACCTACATGGATTAATATTGCAGCTCTATCCACTTCGAAGGGCCTCTGATACACTGTAGAATTCTGGATAGCCAGATTACACATCTAGCCACACCAGATTAGGTAAATGTATTAAATAACTTTGACCATCTACGAGCAGTCTCTGCTGCTACTCACAGCACGTGGAAGCAGTTGCCAACCCTCCCTATGTGCCTGCCTTGTGTGTTTAGCATATTCTAGGCTCTTACCCCTATGTTATTCAGTGTTAAGATTTCAAGTTCCACATTTTTTCAATCTCACCCCTATGTAGTGCATTCTTTTTCACTCAGTGTTTGTGTCATTTTATTGAGGATACCATGTGGTTCATGCTTGAGAGGGCACCACACTTCAGTATACAGTACATAACCCCAGTACACAATCAACACCACAGATTCTAATGTATTTTAAATTTGTAATATTAGGTGAATGTATAAGATAGTTAGCAACATCACTTAGAATATCATTATTGTAGCAGCTAGTTGGACTTTTCAGATAGCCAGATCAGTGCTTGCCCTATTAGCGAGCAGAAGTTTCACTGTACTGAAATTGCATTCTCAATTTTTTCTATTCAACCACCCTGCCCGTGTTACCTGAGCAGGGGAAACCGAAGGTGAATCTGTAAGGTAGGCTTATTTAATGAAAGTGCTCTTCAGCAGTTCTGGCTTTCATGGTGGTGGTGGCTCGCAGTTCCCAGTTTAGACGGAGCACCAACCTGGCTTGGGGGAGGGGCAACTGGTTCTGTGCTCTCGGAATCCGGTGTCTCGGCAGATGGAGATGAATCCTGCTGCGGCGGCAACTCCGGCTGCTGTGGCTGCTGTGGCTGCGTAGCAGCCGAACTGCGGAAGGCACCCGGGCGCCACGAGGACAACATTACGGCACGCACGACACACCCACAGCGCACACACACCAAAAACAAGCCATGCACACAGCTACAGCACACAACACACGTGTGCGCCACGTTACATCCATCATCCTAGTACATACCAATAACAAACAAAATAATGATACAAGAATCACGTTCCCTGTGGCTGCACGTACTACTGCATGACAGAGACCGGCACAACATACATTACCACAACACATCACCAGTTGCATACACCAACACCACAACACACACCACAATCATAGCAAGATTCCTATGAATGACCATTCTCATGCAAGAATGACCTTTTGCTTGCATAGGTGACGTACTCCCTGGATGATAAAAAAAAACTTTATACCCTTGTACTTTAAAACAAAAGATGGGTGTGTGTTACAATCTGGAGAATGCGATACAACAGCAAAACCATTTGTGATAATTCATATGCGAGTGTTCATATGCAGATACAAATATTGAGCGGTATTATATTTTCATTGGCTAAATAGCACTTGTAGGGAAGCAGTCTAGCCTTTTGCTCCACAATAAACTTTGGAAATTTTCTGTCATAATCATTCGCTCTTCTCTATTCCTACAAAACACAGATCCCCCCTTGCACAGACACTTGTGCCAGCTTTGAATAGTTCAGCTGGCCGATCTACAATTCATCCAGAGTTAATCTAGGCTGGATGCGAGGAGCTCACAAATACTTAAAAGATCTGGGAAAAATCCCATTTGTAGGCTCCTTCATTTATTGGATTGTATAAACTTGCAAGACCAGCCACCATATGGCTAAGCAAGTTGTTTGGCCAAGAGAAGGGGATGATAAATGGCCAAGATAAGAGAAGTGCCCATACAATATGTATGTAGAACTTCTTGTGCACCGTATGTAGCCTGTGGTAGGAAGATTGGCCTCTGTAGAGGGGGATCATGAAAGATACAACTGGGCAACTGTGGAAGCTCTGGCAACAATGGGAGGCAAAGGAGTGACGCTTTCAACTACAAAGCACGGGCCTTAAACACTGGTTCAGTGGGGAGTCCTGGTGGTAAATATGCTAGTTACCCTGTTCTATTCACCCTTAAACACCATGGTCAGTCCTGTAATCTCCTGCCAGTGCGTTTTCACCACTCCAACTGCACTCAAAGTAAACCTTGCCTGACACAATCACATCACCACCATTAAGTGACGAGTTTGCTTTTGTTTTTGCGCTCGTGTGTGAGTGCATTAATGCGTGTGACCTTGCCTCTCACCTGGCAGTGTCTGTCCATCCCTGGGCGTCGTCACCGTCCGTACCGCCCTCGGCATTCAGGCCGGACGAGTTGGGAGGAGCCGGCACGCGGCGTGTTGTGGCCACTTTACCAAGGCTCTGCAGGCCATGGCGCGTTGCGACTGTGGGCATTGCAACCATCACGAATTACAAGTCTACCCAACCATCTGGAATCCTTACTCTGTTCTTTTCTCCTGCAGTTTGGAAGAACTCTAGTGACGTTATACAGGACCCTGTAGATGCCACTCCCCCTGTACATGACCTCATAGCTAAGTAAAGGTTTACCACTCACCCCACCCACTTGTATATGTGCAAGTACATCCTTTTATTTGCTGGCAACATTGATTTTTGAAAGTAACAATGAAAATTATTACTTTGTCCTACCCATCCATGACTCAAAATGGCCATGCACTCCTATTGTACCCTTTTTAAAATGTAATTTTAAACTGCATCCAAAGCAGCTTCATGAGTAATAGAAACAGGGATCTATTTCACCAGAACAGATTTTACATTTTAGTCCTGCAGGTCCTTATGAACCCATGTTTTCCAGCCCTTTGTCAAAAAATGGATCAATTTAATTGGCAGGTTACATTTTTTTGGCCGTCAAACAGCCAGTTTCCTGTTTATTATTTATTACCCTCAATTTAACAAAACATAAATCATATATTTTTATGAATATAGTTGGATGTATGTTCAGCGAGTGGAAGATTCACATTTATTTACGTGCTTTATCAGCAGTTGTGGGGTACATGGGGTGACAAACCTCATTATGCAATGAAAACAGAAGAAATTTAAGATTACTTATAAACTGCCCTTTGTAATCTGACAATTTACGTGTTACTCAGATTAAATGATATAGGCAGATTGGCAATACAAGAGCAAAGAAAGAAGACGAAAATATACATTTTTAACTCAAATCGGGACACCTCATCGTGAAAATTCACACAATCACTCGGGGGACGAGAAGGTAAATCGGTTAACAGCGAGAGCGGGCAGGGGTGAATTTTTACAAGCCTTTTTTTCTGCGAGTGGCGGCAGCGTGAGCGTGGGTGTTCGCGGAAAGCGATGGCACTCACTGGTGGTGCGCTGAGTTTCCAGGGAACGCCCCTTGTAAGTGTTGTACAGGCTCAGGGAAGCGTACTTCGGACGACTATTGTTCCCCTTGCCGTTAGACCCCGCACGATCGGACATCGCGCTGCACACACATCAGGTCGCGCTCGCGTGGGATGGAGGGTGCGTGCTCTCTCCGCTGTACAAGATGCACACGTGTCTTCCGTCACCGATGCTGTTGCTTCTGTTGCTGCTTCTCCTACACAACACACGACGACAACATAATTGTTCAAGTGTTATGGAAATTTGAAAAGTTTGTTCTTTTTCAAGCACGTGCTTGATTTTACTTCCCACTGGCATAAACTGTTTAAATAATAACTATGTACAGAAAATCTTAAAGCAGAAATAGTACTTCACAGACATACATAATAAACAGCCCATCCATCCTGCAATATAATTGTGCATCAATGCATACCAGTGATAATGAACAAGGCAGGGAATAACAGGACTATACTTGCTTTGACGTAACAGTGCAAGTTCCAACTAAAGACTTGACAATAATTATTGTTGTGTGTATTTTAAGAACTTTATGCAACCTGGATTTCCAGGATATCGTGAACAGACTCTAAACCCAGTCAGCCATGTAGAAACACAATTACAGCATGGAACCCATAATAATCGGAACATTACACATTTAAATGTTTGTTAGGGGTCAACTCTGCCTGTCGTTCCTTGAGGGCTGCCAAAATAAGTACCACTTTGCAGGAAGTCAGCAGTGGTTGTCCTATGGATAGATTTGCCCATGCAATGGGAATGTGAAACTTCAACTGCTGGCTGAGGGCCACCAACAGGGATGAACACGGACCCAAGTTTCCTTGAACACGGACTTTTTAAGCGGTAGGTCAAGCGATAACGTACGGCATTAGGAAATATTTTACAATTCGTATGCACAATATTTAACCTGAGACTTTTGTGAACACAAAATTATAAAAAAGCATTTGATTCTCAATCACAGGTTATATAATACCGTTTCAATAAATCACCATATAATTAGCAGATTATAGTAAACTGCAGTGTGACAAGTCACACTGTAACCAGGAGACTACTGTATGGAATGTGTTGACTTCATCCTGGATCTAGCCCCAAGGCAATGAAAAATTCATTGGTTATTTTTGCGTGCGTCAACAAGGCACTCGTGACATTAAGAGCTAATGGGTCCCCCCCCCCCCTCATATACTGCGCCATAGCTGAAATGTACATCACTAACACCTCACTGAGCTCCAATTAGTAAGGTGGTGTGCTTGTGAATGAGATTGAATATTGTACAGTAAACCAAGCAGACTAAACAATACTGCCACGTTAAAAATGGTATAATAATATGGCAAGCTCATTTAATTAAACAGGCAATTCACACAGTCTTAAGGCTGTTTTCAGGAGGGCTCTGTAAATGGTATTATTGTCCAATTCATTAAGTGCTCACATGTAGGTAGAAACCATATTATCTGGAAGAAACCCACAAGGAGATAGATAATACTTACAAGAAGTGAAAAAGGATTTTCACTTTTAACAATTTGATATGTCTCAACATGGTCAATTTTTTTCCTGCTCGCGTTCACTCTGGACTAGAATTTGTACAGACCTGATGAATGACATGCAGCAAACCACTTTTCGGGTCAGGCAGTCTTTGGTCAGGTAAGAAAGGGCTCTTAAAAATGTGATAAGTAGTTCCAGGTTTGTATTCTAGGGCCATTCCCTGACAAAGCGTGGAGCCCTGCAGAGCGAGTGACCAGAACAGAAATTCTTCACCTCATAATCCCTGTGCCATAGCACAAGAGGAAAATACTACTAATCATAATGTATTGCCCTTTATTAAGCAACTACTGAATTAAAGTCTTGCCATTCTTCCCAGTCACGGGGGTTTCTTGACTGTAATCAACCATGCTGCTGGTCAGTTCCACAGAATGTACCATTCTAAAATCCATAACTTGTAAGCATACAGCCAATGTCAAAACTGAATTTGTTAAGTGAAAGAGCAACCGATAAAGCCAACATGAGAAAACTGTATGTTCTAAGGCCAAGTGACACTGCACTTCACAGTAACAAGGACACAATGTGCATACACGCATCTTGCAATGAGCTAGGGAGTAATGAACATGCTCACATTTCAGGCCAAGTGGTATTTCTCTGTGCATTGGCTGTATCGAGACGAAATTTGTGTCTGCCTGAGCAACCAATTACAATTGAGTGTCGGTTTTCATTTGTACATCTTCATAATAACGACTGGATTTGCATTTTAAATCTGTCGTATCATAATGCAAGGGAACGATTAACAAAAAACATGAAACACCACTAACAGGGCACTGTTTATTTTTTGTCATTTAGACATACAACACGGAAATCATCGTAATCTTTATTCGGTGGTTGACACCAGCTCATCCTGATATTCTATTTGAACAATATCTCTGGGCAACCTGTGTAGTCATTTATTTAGGTTTTTTTTTCCATTATCCATAAATGCAAGTAAAAAAAATATTTAAATAAATTTTCGGTTTTCCAAGCATATCGAAATGTCGAACAATAAAAGCCCAACCTCTGACTTTGTCTGCTCGAAAGTATTACGTAGTGATGAGGAGTCCTGCCACATGCCCAATCACAATGGAACCCACCGTGTGGTTTCAATGTTCAAGTGTGCCAATCGGTTCAATTATTACTCAAATTTAACTGGATTTGGCTATCGATTCCGTGACTGTTGAAATTGATCATTAAGAACATTTTTTAAAAATTGACAATTAATTAACAACATAAGAGTCATACACATTTAACAATTACTTTATATGGTGTAGAGGTGGCATAGTGGTTAATGCAATGTGCAACGAAGCTGGTGACACCTGCGTTGGGTTCCAACAACTGATGGAAATTTCTAGTTCCTATAATGGAAAGGACAATTACTTGACCATCTACAAAGCAATACTTATTGTTTCAACCCTTGAGGAAATATTTTCTAAGGTAAGATTTCAACTGACATTGGCATAAAAACGTCTGTTACTGATGTTGGTCTACTGAGTGTTACAATTTCATAGTTTTGTCTGGAAATTACCAAGCTCTTGGTGGTAGAAACTCAACCACCGCCTCAATAGAAAATTACGTTGTGATAAGCACACGCACTATTCGACTATGGTTACCTTAACTACTGTATACAACACATTACAGGTATTTGGCAGGCAACCGAGAAGGAAAAACTGTGGCATTGGCCAAGAGTCAAGTAACCATTTTACCAATCCCTTAAGAATCCACATTGTTCCTTATTAACCGCCTAACTGACTGCCACACACAAACATTAAAAAACTGGAATAAAAATTCACTATGCTGCACTGGAAGGATAAAAGTGAAACACTACCCTGCACCGTACCAGATAACCGTTTTTCACAATTGATTAATGTCTCATAAACAAAAACTTGTGTCACAGCTACCAACTGAGAGCATGATCGGACAACTCCAAATTGGTCAGAAGAAGACCGTACTGCAATGATTGAAAATATACTACGCAGAGCTTTGAGCATGACCGAATCATGTGTAGTTTTTCTCTGAATATGCCCATGTCATCACTCACGCCACTTTTTAATTTGCTCAACATCCTGAAAGTGTCTTGGAACTAAAAAAAGTTAGGCTTACCCGAGTAAATGGCATTGTTATTTCATGAATTAAGACACTGCATACGACCTACATTCTCTATCAATTAATCATATTTTGAAAGCAATTCAGCCCCAAATCAAGATGTGACAACACTCCCAAGAACTTCCTGTTCCTACATCTCAAAGCGACATGCTCTCTGGTAGCATACATTATCTATTTAAGCCTCCAGAGAGCAGAACTTGTGAACACACACACACGAGCAATTCTACATCTACATTGAAAACTAATTTATTTCTGCTTTGTGTTTAGTTTGTGGTCCTTCCCCACACCTCCGATTAGAACGGTGGGCTACGTACGGTGTGTGAAAGTAGCTCAACATATCAACATATTCCAAATGCTGCCAATCTTGACATTAACCAGGTGTGAAAGATCAGGTCAGCTTATTCACAGACCAATGGCAGCTGACCATCACTTTTCTTCAGTACACATGAATGTTGCAATATGAAAGTTCAGCTTATACAGCATCACTACATCTTGGTCAAACCAATGGTGCCAATCGACATTTACAACTTCCTCTTATTAGCTTTGTTTTCCTGAGAAACCCATCATCAACACTTAACCTGACCTCTACTCGTCGAGCGTTAAATGTAATACATCAAAATCTGCGCTGTTAACACTGTCAGTGGCATATAACACACACAAGTCTGCATTGTGGCCGACATTATCACATAGAGCATGGGATGTTGGCATATTTCAAATGGGTCTACTCTTGTAGGATATAACACGCATCATGGTGCAGATTTCTCGACATATCCAGCATAAATTCACAAGAACATATTTCTGTTTAGAATGCATTTTGACAAGGGCCGCATCTCGGGGCGATATTTCTCACGAGAGTCAAAGCGTCTCCCTTTTTCAAAACAGAAATCGGCAAACACTTTCCCATTCCATATTTCCATGGTACGCGATGCTCACCATGGCATGCCATCTGTTGACCTCTCTCACAAAGTGGTACTCATTTCATCCCATTTTTTTTTTATCCCCCAGAGGGATATTGGGATGAGTGGTACCCCAGCTGAAACGTATGACCCTCCAATTTTAAGAGCTCAGCACTACCAACAAGCACCACCACGCCGCCGGATGTAATAAGATAGGTGTTTCACAAAAATAATGTAACGATGAAACCGATGTGCTATATATTTAAATGGCAACCAGTGCCTATTTGAAGAGCCAGGTTTCCACAGTGCAAGCGATTCCAGCCTACTGATCGTAATGTTTCGTAACATTTTACTGGTTTATTATTTGTAAACAATTATATACAACTGTGCTTTTGGCGCACATCTACAGCGTTTGAATATAAACATCCCTCTCGTGTAAGCCATTATAATCAAAAGCACAACCTTTTAACCCTCCGCACGATGCTAGCATAAGCGTTGTATATTTCCTATACACATCGTTCATGGGTCTATTCTTACCGTTGCTATTTTTTCTTCTCAAATGTAAAACCAGGAGTTGGGTTCGCCCCGTGTGCGAATAATGTATACTTCTCACAGCTGCGTTAAAGCAATTAAACCCAACCCGGATGGCGCTGGGTCAGTGGAGGGAGGCGGTGTGGGGGGCGGCGAAAGTGACCCGAGTCACCACCAAATGGGACCATCATCTTTGCGGTCGATAAACACCACACGAGTACCACTTCGGTGGGGGGGGGGGGGGACCCCCCAAACGATGGTTATTTGTCCTATGGAGGACAATGGGCTCCTCGGCTAGCGAATGTTGGAATTTGAACACAGACTCCACAGCCACCCGCAAGGAGGTAAAATAATAATCACCACGCCGGGCTCTTGCATACTGAAGACAACAACTTTAACCACACTGGGCCCCCCATCAAACACCTCAAATATGGCAATGCCCCCCATCACCAAAATCCATCGGTGTCCAATGCCCCGACCACAACCATGGCTGCCGTGACGTCACCGACCATTCAAAGCAAGGCCCCAATTAACGCTCTAATTTGCATATAATTACGTCTCGACCCCCCCACCCAGCCACCTACCACCCCTACTGGCCCCTCGTGTTGTCCCCCCCCACACACACACACACACCCCGCCACCTTTCCCCTTTCAAATTGGCAGCCCGGGCCTGTGGCGGCTCTCAAAACTCCGCGACCTTCCCCGCCATCTTACGCCGGCGACGCGCTCCGGACTCGTCTCAACAAGCGCATGGGGGGAGGACAGCAGGCGAGAGCCAGGCTCGAGAGGGCGACAACAACGCGGCTCGGGCGAGGCGAGCGAGCCTCTATCGTAGTGATACATCGAGAACGACAAGCGGGTCATGAGGCACAAGAGCCATGGGGGGGGGGGGGGCAGGCCTCTCACTGGAAGATGGCGGCGGGCCCTCATCATCACACACCCGCCCCCCTTCCCCCGGGCTGCTTGAACGCGACCCGCGTCGCGAACAATCGGGCGGGCACCGTGTCGCGAAACGCGGCCCGCGTCGCGTCACTTGCCTCGTTCGCGAGTAACTTGGGCGGCTTGCGCTCACGTAGAGACCAAGATGGGGCCGCGGCGTCGTTGGCGATGGCTTCGATGCGATCGGATTGACGGAGTGGCCGGCCGCTTCACCGCGGTGGCGCTTTAGCTGGGAAGCGCCGTTGAGGGGGCGTGGCAGCATAAATTATGTTAATTTATGCGATTGTGGGCGTGGTTATGTTAATGAACAAATATCCCGGATGTGACGTGTACGCCTTTCCGTAGTATTATGTTAATGCGCATGATGGCAGCCAGACGTGATTATACATTTTAGTTTATAAATTAAGTGCTCGGCAAACGTTTTGACGGTACAGCGCACGGTTTACGGTTGCTTCAAAGTTGTGCTTCGAGGTTTTATTTCTCAGACTCCTCCGCCTCAGGAATGTAGATCTGTTAAATTCATTTTCGGGTCTCACACGAACAAAATCTTCCCACAATGCAGTGTGCCAGGCAACATTTAATAAAATTTACTTTGCAAATAAATGCGTTTATTGAGGAGCAATTGCTGATTGTTGAAGTTTACCGAAGAGTCCGTCTGTTACTCAATAGCTATTAGTTAATTATACATACACCTGTACTTCTTTGAAACTGGTCATCAGAAACATGTAAACTGTCATCAGAGTACCAGTGGCGGCTGGTGATATTTATTTTTGGGGGGGCGCATTTTTTTTATTTTATTGAGGGGGGCAAATAAATATAAAGCAGTACCAAAAACCATTTTGACTACTTGAATATAAATTTTGATGATCTTTATTTACATTTCAGACCAAAAGAAGTACCAAAAAGCATGTTTCCTACTTGAACATAAATGTTTCTCTTTTATATACATTTCAGACCAAAGTACCAAAAAGCATGTTTCCTACTTGAACATAAATGTTTCTCTTTTATATACATTTCAGACCAAAGTACCAAAAAGCATGTTTCTTACTTGAACATAAAAACGTTAGTTTCATGCTATTATCAATATGGCTGCGGCTACTTTCATGACGTTTGCATTTGTCAGAGAGATGTTTGAGGTCTCTTACCCCCGTCGTTGTCCACAAAACTTCAGTGCCGACACTTTGAAATAAAAGACAGGGAAAACAAAAAAGAGAATTGCTAACATCACATCCAGCCAGCCACCTCCGTTTCTCATAACAAGCGCGGGTGAAGCTTCGTGTGTAGCTTCGTCCTCTGTCACTGGCCTGCTGCTGGATTTGTAAATCGGGTTGGTCCGGTCCGAGATCCTTTATCTTTTTTATTTCTTCCAGCGAAAGCCTTGTGAAAGGGTTTTTTTGTAAATAAATTACAGAATTTGGATGAACTGCTGCCATTGTTTACACAAAAAATTTGATCAGCCTAGCAAGTGTCAAAGTGGTGTCGCCTTCGCACTCGCAGTAGTGGCCTACAGCGTAAATTTGAATGACAGGTGACGAGAACCAATCAGATTGGATAAAATAACATGTATCCAATTCTGATTGGCCAGGGACGCAACGACTTGCGCCCCGAGGAGAATCTTTAAGAAACCAATTAGAGACCAGCTTCAGGTCACATGCTGTCCGAAAATGTAAAGTCTCACATAGACATCCATTTGTCCGGCGCCCCGCATGAAACACATTGAAAAACATAGAAAATAGTTGACCGATTAAAGCCAGTTTTTATTAAATGCTGATGCTTTTCTTACTACCAGCCGGCACATCGTATGAAAAAAATATTTTATTTATGTATTTTTATATAAATTTTGCATATGTATATTTCTTGAATATTGATGGGGGCGGCGCCCCTGCGCCCTCTATTGACGAGCCGCCACTGCATCAGACCCAATGGTTCAAACTTTATTTGAAGCTTTCGTGACTGCAGGAATTACTCTTTGGTTCTTTCGGTAAAGCCACGTAGAAAGAAAATAAATGTAATAGAATACGACGTTTCGATTGCAACACAAGCAACTGTCATCAGATAGAACTAAATTTGAGAAAGAGATAAAACACAGACACACAACATAGACACACAGATACCCAATGCCTATTGCTTCTGTTGCAATCGAAACGTCGTATTCTATTATTTAATTTGTTAAATTTATTTTCTTTCTACGTGACTTTACCGAAAGAACCAAAGAGTAGACCCCATGGTGTTAAGCGCAGAGCCCACCCCATATGAACTTTATCTCTGGCCCACGTTCACGTAGCAGGGCCATTGTTCGCGATGCTAATTATGTACTATAGAATTAAGGGAATGTTGTTTATGTTACGTGTTTATTTTTGTCGTTTACATGACATACTTGTAATGATTCATTGGGAATGTCGCGTTGAGCGGTGGTTGCACAATCAATAATAAAAACGTGTGATTGGAACCGCTGGGCTCAACTTTCAGATTTACTTGAACTGGCCCAAAACTACACACAGCAGATGACGCTTCGGGCAATGACCCTTCATAAGCGCAGTAACCAGAGGAGAGCCAGAGAGATACCGCTAGTGGATAATACACGTTGAAGACTGTACTTTACACCGTGGGGTCTGATGAGAATGAAATTAAAAACATCCATATTAGAGGTTTTTGGGTTAGATCGCGTAAATGTGTCGTTAAATCCGCCACCATCCCACAACCAATTAGGTTTGTCATGTAAACAAAACATTAACAATTCATTGAATTGTAAATGCTGTACTAGAAACGAATTAGATTTTTTTTTTTACATGACAAACCTTACTAATTGGCTGTGGGGTGGTGGTATAACGACACATTTATATTTACGCGATTGAACCCAGAAACCTCTATTATGGATAATATTGGTCGCGAAAGCCAAGCACGTGTTACATTTAAGAACATCTTGACTTAACGCTTTCGTGACTGCAGAAATTCTTTTTTTTTATCTATGTGGCTTTACCGAAAGACACAAAGAATCTTTAAGAATTTTTTTTATGACCGGTTTTTAAAGTCCACTTTTAGCTTTAAATTAATTAATGTATTCACGTGTGGTGCCACAACCTCAAGGCCACTCTGCAAGCACCCCCCCCCCGGCCCCCCCACACACACAGCGCACACACATATTGTCCTGGCGTGGGATTGCTTGGCACAAAGGGGTTTAATCCGAAGGGTTCCTATGAGGAAAGTCCCACGGTTTCCTGGTGCCAGGGGATTGGCCGACCATCGCAGGACAATTTACATCGAATTGGCTGAATAGTGTATGGGCGCAAAAAAGGTTACCGGGCCAGCTACGATGAGTCATTCACGGCGTTGGGAGAAGGTCGGGCAAAAAAAGCGAGAAAAGCAGACGATGAGGTCAGGGGAGCACAGCGCCACGATCCCACCTGACCCCCATACTGAATACACATCCGTAGGGTGTGTATTCGGTATGGGTATTGTAGAGACACGTATTGTAGAGACACGTTCTGCTGATCTCCACCGCAATACATTTCTAAAGACACAGAGACGATATTCCGGATATGATGCCTGAGGAAGTTAATTCTGATCTTCTCCATGATCAGACGATATCTTTTCTTTCTTTAGCAAGGCTGATGTAGATGTGGAGCAACAACTACAATTTCACATTCAGGTGGTCAAGATAGATAACTGCGTCAGGAGCAGCGGAGTGTATCGTCGTGATGTCTCCTTCGCATTTGTGGATCGGGCATTCCATCGTTATATGTTGTACGATCTGTTCTGGATGGTTTGTGTGGATGCGATTTAGGGTGAACCATAAGCTTCGTGGATATGACATCAAAGTAACGGGACTGGCTCTCACATTTGATTTCTTTCAACCAGGTAAGAATGCAAGAGACCAGCCTGAGTCTCATTTGCAAGAGAGACCTGGGTGGTCACCAAAATTACAAAAGCAAACACAACCAAAATGAATTAGAGCGATGAAGCAAACAGACATCAAAGCAAAACAACTGCACCATATGATAAATGAAAAATATTGCTTAAGCATGAAACAATGTTGAATAATATATGCCCTGTAACCTAGTGTAAGTCGGCTGGGGCCAGATTATTTTTAGGCTGATCAAAGTACAATTATGAATAAATTACACAAGCAACTGTCTCTCCTCATCCCTGTCACCATAGCGTTGGTGTACGGTACCTTTTCTGGAAGATTTTTGCTGTTTTTTCCTGAATTTTTCTGTTTGCGCATAGTCACTTTAAGATGTTTTCTTGATCATGTTTTTGTTTGTTGCGGTTGCACCCGATTCAAGAGCCGAATGGCTCACAGGGCTATACCAAATAAATGAAACTGAAACTGAAACAATTCACGTCGTTAACTTCCTCCCCTTTGTTGCCACAATTTGCCCATTCCATAGAGTGCCCCGAAATGTTGTGTTCAGACACGTTATACAGTCAAGTTGTACTGTACACAAGACATATCCCGATGCTCGACTTTTAGAAATACAGTAGTCAATAAAAGAGTTCTACGAGTTTGGTTTAAATATGATTGGTTTAATATTGAGAATTTATAAAAAAAAGTCACTAAAATGTACAATACAGCAATATATTACAACACCATCATAATACACAAGGCAGCCACGCTGGGCGAATTTGGATGTTTCTCCTACCACTCCTTAGATCTTTGATGAGCTGTGTATGTTTGACTGTTGGACCCTTTAGCATTTAGACCAAATCACAACAATCCTAAACAAGGCCTGGTTTAACTTGGGTAACTTACAGCTGAGACCCAGATGAAATTAAGCCCCGAGTACACGAGGTTGTGAATGTAATAATAATATTAAATCATGAAACAATTTGTAATGCGCACACATTTCGACCAACAGACAAGTAAGTCGTTGTGTTGGCGCGAATTCGGAGGCGCGATGCGCACAGGCTCACAGTTCCTCGTGCGCTGGCCTGAACAAGGGTTGCACATTCAGCTGGGTCCTAACGCGAGAGCAGGGGTCGGCAACTTGCAGCTTCGGAGCCGCATTTGGCTCTTAAAGGACTGCTTCGTGACGTTATTTATTAAGGACCGTCTCAAACGCACATGCATTGCGGCTCTTGAAACATTGAGGGGTTTTTTCACCGAATTTGAAAATAAATGGCTCGTTTTGTGATTTTGGTGTTCGACCCCTGCGCTAGAGGGAGTGTGAATGCTTCCTTTGTGGGAGACAGAGTTCCATATGACGGGAGCGGCCACAGAGAAGCGCCACTCAGCCAGGATCGACGGTCTTGGCTCCGCAGACGATCAACAGAAGTCGAACTTGGGACGCGCTCCAAAGAACGTGGCACTTTTTCGCCGTGGTCAAAGTGTTAAGGAGAGTGAAGAGATACCGCCGCTTGATGTGTCCCTCCCTCCAGCCTGCCAGCCAGGCAGCAAAGCTTTTTTCTAATAGATTATGATAGTGTGATAGAACATCCCGCGCATTTGCGTTACAAGTTCACGTTATGAGTAACACACATTATCTTCTCAACGGTGTCAATAACCAACTTCTCCACCGCCGCCGCAGCAGGAATGGCAGTGAAGCAATCGCCTGAAGAAGGGACGCAGTCTCTTGTTGGCGAAGAGAAAACGCTGCGATGGATTATTGTGCCGATGCGACGCAGCCTGGACGACCTCCTCAGCCGGAAGGGCCTTCGCATGGCCAGCATCCTCTCGATCAGCAGCTCGAATCGTTTCGCGCGGAGTGCGAGCCGCCCTGTGCGAACGCACACCACGCAACCAAAAGACAAGTCAAAAAGTGTTCTTGCTCGGGAAAACATTGCAGTGGTGATCATCTTATTGGTGACCAAAGTGGGAGGTTGATATCTGGATAAGATGACCATCTGTGAATGTGTGCTTTATTGTTCTACCACAGTACCTTCGATTAGCACTGTTGCACTCCTTATTATGTTTTCGTATTGTTTGTTGTTGTAACGTTCTGACCTGCGCCTACTGGACATCTGTGAAAAAGAGCTTTTTCGCTCATTGGATTCCTCCAGTCTAAATGTATAATCTGATTCTGGCTACGCATGGTGTGAAAGAAGTTCAACTTACGTAACGGGAAAAGTCTGCTTCACTCATTGTGTCTGCGTGTGGAGTAGTTCTATACATGTCGGTGATGTGTTCTGCTGGTCACACCACCCCCTTTTCAGGCGTCCCGACCTTAATAGGTGCTCGCTAGTAGTACTTTTCCCCAACAATCTGTCAAATAGTAAAAATAATAACCTCTATTGTATACAGTACCTTTCATCTGAAGTATCTCAAAGCGCTGTACTTACAAATAAAACTACTCACAAGTAGAGATCAAATCTAAGCGAAATAGAAAGCTGATGAATAACAATGTCAATGACTACACCCGAAAATCCAATCAAATTAAGAACTATGATAACAGTGAATAATAATTACAGAATAATCCAAACAGACAACAGTTGAAGGCTACATTGCAGTGACGGTGCATTTGCTGTTACCAGTGGAGACAGCAATGGTCTCTTTGGAGGCACGCTTGTGAAATAAAAAGTGTATTTTGTGTAGAGAACACGAGATACCAGGCATTAGTTCAATTTGTGAGAGTGACCTGGGACACGAGATTGTCAGTAGGAGATAACGATTTTTACATGCTTAATCCCAATTTGGTAATTTGTGGGTGTTTTTAGAATTTGGCAAATTTGGACCCGGACGCCACTGTGTGGCTGGTGCCAACTGTCCCACAAGAAGGATGGGAAGTGGATGAGCAATGCTCATAACAGCGAGCAGAGCACGGGCAGATAGATCAGAACAAGCAACAACCGTGGGGAGTGGTGCCAGTGTATTTGCCTGTGTTACATCCTCAACACTTGGATCTGTCCCGTGACTTTATATTGGCAAACCCACACCACTATACTTGGCCTCAAAGTGCACCTCATCCTGGCACAAGCGCTGTAGCAGCATCACCACCACTGGCCGGCCAATGGTGGATGTTGTTGCTCTTGTCGTAGTGTGTGTGTCTGTAGTCACTTACTGCTGCTGCTTATTGCAGGAATCTGTAGCCAAACTCCTGTTGCAGTCGGATGCTGCAGCTGGGCTGGGGTCAACCGGGGTCATGGTCAAGTTGCCCCCGTTTGTTGAAGCCTCGGCAGCTTCGGCTTTCGGGCCACAAGGTGGATTTGGGTCCCGCTGTGCAACTGACGATGTGACCAGGCACTCGTGACTTTGAGATGTGCCATCAGCTTCCTGCCGAGTGCAGGAAGCCAAGGCTGGGCACTGCTGCGCAGAGCGAGCTGTAGTCAGGTCCTCCTGAATCAGAAGTGTTCCAGCAGTGTCCCTCTTACGGCCGAGAGCAAAGACAAGAGCCTCCTCTATGACTTGGTCTGCCCAGTTATCATGTGACGGCGAGGCAATGCCCTGGTTATCACTGCTCGCCAAGGTTGCATCCGGGTGTACGTGTAGTGCTGCGCCTGGGTCCTTCGCATCACGGAGTGGAGCAGCGGAACCGCATGTGTTGCCGGACGGTGGCCCTGGGCCCTCTTCATCGTCGAGGTCAGGGGCGGCCGATTGGGCAGGAGGCATCCTCGGGGCCCGTACCCATTCGTGATCCATGGCACCGTGCGGCGTGAGGCGCCACTCCGGATCCCACCTGCGAGAAGGGGCAGTGACAACGTCGTCTGTTTGGTTGGCAGGGCCGCTCGAGAGAACGGCGATCCATCTCGGGATTCCTGACTCTGGAAGAGATCGCTCGAGTAGCACCGGAGCGGTGCTGGTGGTTAACCTCGGAAATAACGGCGCTTGTGGTGATGAGCATTGGCTGTGTCGCGTGACCGATGCGCACTGGCTTCCATTTAAAAGTACTGCAATTACCTCGTGCAAGCTGAGAAACACGAACCGTGACTACACGCTGAGACAAAGTCCTGTAGTGGGAGGGGATTTCTCGTTCTCCTCTGCCGCTCCCACAGTCTGGAACTCCTTTCCCCCACGCATCCGTGCGGTGAGGTGCAAACCAAACTGCCCAAAAACACGTGTACTCTGGAGAAACTCGTGTATTCTACCCAGCTACCCGGGATGCTATGGTGAAGCTTACAAAAACATTTACCCTGCTGATTTTGTCAAACGCCGCCAATTGCTCAATTGGCGACTTATTCACCTGGGTGGGGGAGAGACGGTGAGGGGGGGGAGAAGGGAAGTGAGAGTGCCCTTTGTGATTCCACGGCTGCTGCTGCATTCGAAAAAAAGTAAGCGCGTCGCGTACTGCAGGCAGCTCCGAATGAAGTCGATGAAGAGCTCGTCCGTCGTTCCGAGCGCCAGCGGGAGGGCTCGGCTCCCCGGGGCCCTCACGAGGCGGCGGTGCAGCTGGGCACGGCCGCTGTCATCTGGCGGAGCAACAAGGGCAGAGGTCGCAAACGGGTTTTGATTCCTTACCCGTACCAGGCCGCACCAGGGTCGCAAACGGGTGGGTACCCGTACCCGGGTATCGGGTACCTGATTGCGACCTCTGGGATGAAGCCATGTTGCAGGCGCGGGTGGGTTGATTCTAGGAACTTGAATTGTGAGAAGAGACAAGACGTTGGGAAATGAGTGACAAACGGTGACTCACCAGTGACTCACGGCCTACCCGTACCCGGCCGCACCAGGGTCGCAAACCGGTACCCGTACCCGGGTATCGGGTAGGGTACGGGTATCGGGTACCCGGTTGCGACCTCTGACCAAGGGGCCGTCCATAAATGACGTCACGCGATTTTGGACGATTTTTGACCCCCCCCTCCTTCGTCACAAAAAGTCAGACCCCCCCCTCCTTAAATAAGACGTCACAAAGCTATGCCCCCCCCTCCCCCCAAAATAAAACATGCTTAAAATCGCTTTAAATTATTGTCATTGTAGTGCGTATTTAATGTGGCGCTGCACTCTGATGTTGTAGGAGGAAACGTTTATTTAAAAGTATATTTAATTAAGTAGAACGTGTTGTCTATATTTATTTAAAGTTGCGCATTTTGATGTGACGTCACATTTCTCACCCCCCCCCATCGTCACACATCGTCACAAATGTTTGACCCCCCCCCTAGGTGCGTGACGTCATTTATGGACGTCAAAGATGCATTTCAGCGTGCGCCACTACAGTCGACGAAACACCGCACGACGCTTCAACGCCACCATTGGACACAGCCAATCCACTGCTGGATGAAGGTCGCCGCCATCTGTATGTATGTTGAACTTCTTTCGAATTGTACGCAGCCGACCGTGCTAATTGGAGGTGCAGGGCAAGGACACCAAACTAAACACAAAAAGCAGTTTTAAAGAAATTAGTTTTCAATTTTGAGTTGCAAATGCATATAGCTCCAATGGCATCCTAATATCGGAAGAGCGTCCCAAACGACCGCAGAAGCGCATCCAAAAGCACGCAATGCAGCGACGGTCTTTGTTCGATGGGTAGCCAAATAGCCACTGCGAGGGTGACCTGAGTTTGCGTGATGGTTTATGCTCCTTGATGAGATCAGTAAGGTATTGTGGTTCATTTGGGGCAAGCACTTTGTGTTTAATGAGTGCAACGTTTTCATGTATTCGTTCAGCAACCGGAAGCCAATACAGCTCAGTGGATGGACGCGGTCGCATCTTGCAGTACCCGTCACGACACGTGCCAAAGAAATGTGTACTCGCTGAATTATTTGGCAACCTCTCGCGGCCCTGCGATGTGACGATCCGCCCCGCACCTGCGCTCCATCTCCACAGTGCCGTCCTCTCGGGAACATTCCTTCGTTTTGGCTGCCACTCCGCCGTCGTTCCTGTCCTCTGGCCCTTGTCCCATCTAGCTACGACGTGTCCCTGCCCAAGGGCCAATGACTTTTATTATCAGTCACTGTAAACGTAGAAGTTAAGTAAAATGTGCCCCCAGCCATCCGTGCTGTTTATTGTCTTTCCGCCGCACTTCAAATTAGCACGGTTGGCTCCGCGTGGTGCGAAAGAAGTTCAGCATACATGCAGAAAAAAAACTCATGTAGGTGAAGTACCGGTGAGGACGCTTGACACCGAGGTTGAGGCACACGTGTATTTATTTTACAAGTCGTCACGACAGGACAGTACTAGAGGGGGTATCGGCCCCCTCACCCGTATACTGGGGATACACCACTAGCTATCCCTGACCTACCCCGAGTCCTCCACTAATGGGCTAGGGGAGGCTGTCTGGCCCGACACTGGTGAGTCGGGCTACGGTACCCGGAGTCCCAGAGTGCTGACTCTGGTTCACGGGACCACGCCACTGGCTCGGTCCTGCGCGGCCCTGACAAGGGCGGCGTCTCAGGGGAGTCCAGGGCTCTAGCTACCCAGGTCTTCAATCTTCCCTCCTTTGTTCTAATACTGAGCCCCGAGCTCTCTCTGTCATCCCCTTTTATATCCCCCCCAGGATCACAACCCCGGGCAGCCCTACCCCCAGGCTGCCCGATGCGGACGTCGTTGCGGGCACCCCCCCCCCCCCCGTGTACTCCCGGAGCTCCGCCCACTGTGTTTGTTCGCCGTTTGATCCTATGTACAAACAGCCCCTCGATAACAGCCCTACATAGGTAGTGATGAGAAGGAAACTGGCACTATTTGGAATCATATGTAGGATGGACAACAGGAAAACTAAAAGTGTTTTGTTGTTCGGAAAAATGGAAGGAGCCGGTAAGAGAGGAATAACTAAATGGCTTAATGACGATATAACGAGATTGGTGCCAGAAAAATGTGGTCACTACTCGATAATATTGGTACATGACGGAGGAAAGTGGAAACAAATGACGACATCTGCAGTGGACACCTACGGCCTATCTGCCCATGCATCGTAATGATGATAATGATCAGTCATTACCACGTGTCAAACCTGTTGAGAAATGTTATTATAATCCATGCGCATGCCATGGTGGCGAGAGGTTATCTCCCTCGCCATGGTAGGCAGGAGGTCGTGGGTTCGATCCCGACCCTGACGCCTGCTGTAATACAGCAAACCCTTCCCTCTCGCAGGTTTAGCCATCGCGGTTTCGCACCAAATTTGATTGAGGTATAGTTCGCTTATCGCGCCCACCATGTTGCTCGACCATTTGCGGTTGACCACGAGATGAATATACGCGTCGTAACTGCACTGCTCGCGATGATGATGCTGCCGTAGAAGCAATGCACGTGTGCTGCCTTATCTCCAGCGTGTCTCCCAAGCGGCCCATCGCGGGTCCCTGGTCACGCGGTGTTCCTTCTTCAAGCTATTTTCAACACGATGGAATATTAATCGTGTTTTACATCCAAAAATACGGTCTGTTTCATGTTTGGGTTGATGCAGGGTAACGTAAAACTAAAGGAGGGATGGGTGTCGCATTTTTAACCGTGAGCCAAACCCCTCGTTTTCCCATTTGCCTTTGAATTTGTGGGTCGCGGATTTGCAGAATGTGGATATTTTCAAGAACATGGGCAAGAGTTTGTCGTATTTGGAGTTCGCGTGTTCTCTCTTTCCCCGTGTGATGAAGTAAGCCACTTCGATGAGCGTATCATCATGCGCGGCCAGGTCTGCAAAAGAGCTCATAGCACGGTTGGCTACGTACGGTGCGAAAGAAGTTCAACGTACCTGGTAAGTCGTACGTTTGAACTAAAAGAGATCATGCCTTGATACCACCACTAGAGGGCAGCATCGACCACGTGGTGGATAGCAAAGCCCAAGGGCCACGTGAGGCCAATCGTCACCGGCAATGGTTGCCAGCAACAAAAGCCAATCGTTAAAAACTCGCCGCTCAAAAGTCTGAACAGATCTGATCGCAGCTCCCCCTAGCGGGAAACTGCGACGGCGATTTCCAATCAGCTCACTGCACGAGTGGGGAGCGGTGGTGTCGCGGTTAGCGCGCTGCGCTACGAACCCGGCGACCCGAGTTCGATTCCCACTTCACGGCCACCAACACCGATTATCTGAACCCGTCCTGGGCCTCCCCCCTAGGGAATATTTGTTTTGTTGGCATGCGGACAGGTGAACGTGGAAGCGTTCTTATTGCTTTTCCAGTAAGAAAAACTTATAATGGAATTTGCTGTTAAAAAGGGCCATTTCCCGAAACGTCACCTTATCAGTGCCGGATTATCCTAGTAGCAAAAGTAGCTACATATGCTACGGGCCCCGCATTTTCAAAGGCTCTGCGCTAAATGCTTTCAAGTGATCAATTCAGGTTCATTGATTCTGCACTTGCTCTAATACTAAAGTACTATACTGCCTTCAACTTTTATGAACGACTGGGTGTTTAAGGTTAGCGATTTGTCGTATTATCTGGCTGTATAGCAAATTAAAAAATACAATTACTTCACTATGCAAGTTACAAATTTGTGTTTTAATATTTATGTGTTTTTTTTATTTAGGGCCCCTTTATAACATATGCTACAGGCACTGCACTAGCTTAATCTGGCACTCCACCTTACATATGTTTTTTATTTTAAGGACACAGTGTTATTGACGAATGTGTTGATGTTGTTTGTATGGACTGTGCTTTGTGCACCGCTGCCAACACAGCATCAGCATTGTACTTAAAAACGTCTGCCGCTCTTGGCTACAGAAACCTCCGTCACTCCGTTCCAAGTTGCCGCAGCTGCTCGCGGTGAACGCGTTGCTGGTGACGGCTGCCGACAACAATTGTGATGGAAATAAATTCCCCAGTAGATCGTGGCCCAAAGGAAGCTTCGGGTCACTCGTATGCAATGAAGTTTCGTTTAGGACTGTGGTTTAGATATATTAATATCCCAGTAGCGTAGGCTGGGCTGGTTCTGGCATGTTCAGTATGTGCAGTCACAATACAATTGGGATAATACTGTGTAACTTTTAAATGCTAGCCCTTGCCACAGGAATGTGGAATTGTCAAGCTGGCTCAGAAAGAAGCACGGTTCCACCTTTGTAAAAGTATGAAGGCGTTTTACCTTTGTCGCTACAAACTACTGTAAACATTCATAGTCTTGGTTCTTTCGGTAAAGTCACGTAGAAGGGAAACAATAAAATAAGAAAAATAAAGAATAATAAAATTCTCACGACGTTTCGACTGCAACACAAGCAATCATCATCAGGTGTGAAAAACACAGCAAGAAATTTTGAAGAAAAAAAACGCCACTTTTTTCAAATTTTCTTGCTGTGTTTTTCACACCTGATGACGATTGCTTGTGTTGCAGTCGAAACGTCGTGATAATTTTCTATTTTTATTCTTTTATTGTATCCCTTCTACGTGACTTTACCGAAAGAAGCAATAATATTAATCACTGTAGTCACGAAAGCTTTAATTAAAAATGTACTGTAAACATTGTTTTTTAACGAGAGAATACATTTCCAATTCACAAAATACAACCCTTCCCGTACCTGTCTCTTTACATAACAAACATAAAAACATTTAACACATCCCATGAGCCACATGGCATTCTGGGAGTGATTTTTTCCAGCAGCATTGGTTCAGCACAAGCAAACGCGTTGGACCGATTTCGACATTCAATGTCTCATCAGCGGACTCGCGCTCGTTCAGACCAACAATGCTGGTGAACTGACATTGGCAAGGACCCCCTCTCGATGAGGCATGGGTCCTCGTTTGACACGCACACACACACATAAAAACACAGATGGAACACATAATCAGCGTCGACATAATAATTAAGCAGATAGTCCGACTTATTTTGGTCTACTTGTGTATATTTATTACCCACATTCTTCACAAGTGTTATGTTGTAGTAATAGGGTTTTACCCTTTCAACTGGTACAAAAACTGACACCTTTACACAAGGGATCATGTTTGCAATAACCACAACACAAGCAGTCAAAATGCAAACAAAAAGAAACAACTCTGATAATGATAATGATATGCACTGTCCTTGAAGTTGATTGGTCCACACCCGAGACAGCTTTCCTTAGAGCCTAGTCCCCATTGGTGTTGGGACCAGATGACGCCAAAAGGCGCACAACTCAAAAACAGCGCACTATCAGAGTATTGGGAGCTCGGGGTAAGCATTTACACTATGAGACCTCCTTTACCTGATAATGATCATTATCATTATCAGAGTTGTTTCTTTTTGTTTGCATTTTGACTGCTTGTGTTGTGGTTATTGCAAACATGGTCCCTTCGTTACGCGCCGAACGAGTGAAAGTTGCTCTTTCAATGCAGCGTGCACATCAGAGTTACAAACAGCGCGTCGCAGACATAGGCAGTGACAGTGTGAAACCCACCGAAAAATTCAAGTTGGACACTGGACTCTTCGATCATGTTCTGGGGCGGGAGTCCAAACACCTGACAGAAAACAAAGACAAAGATCCCCCATAGAACCTTTAACAGACCGTTGGGGGACAAGTGCTGTTGGCGAGCACCTATTGAGGCCGACACAGCACACAGGAGTGGGTGGGTTGTCAGCAGCACCCCCGGCCGCCTTTGTCTCCCTAGCGGCAAATGTTTACACATCACACCAGGTAATCGTTTGAGGCCGAGTCTACCTAGGGGACGCCCAGGACCGGTTTAAATATTCGCTGTCACCGTTTTTGGCCGTGAGCAGGAATCTAACTCGGGTCGCCGGGTTCGTAGCGCGGTGCGCTAACCGCTGCGCCACCGCTCCTCACAAACACTTGCACGCACACGTGCACATTCACATGACATTCACATGACATTCACACGGAGCTTGTGAATGAATAGAGAGGTGACGATTAATCCCCACGGCGAGTCCAGAAATTAGCGATGAATCGGAAGTTACTAGTTAAGAATCAATTATTTTTGGTTTCATTTTCACCATCTTGCTTGTACTGTTTCTCGGGTTATTTGTGTTGTATTACTTCCTCTCTGGTTTGTGCAGTTAGTTTGCTCCAATCGCCTACGTGAAACACGCACGTATGATATTTGCATAACACGTAAAATAATAGATTTTCGTATAAACGATTTGATGCATGCATCGCGAGAATTGGTTTCCATCTACAAATCGATGCACGATTTACACGCCTGGCAAAGGACACACTTACAGGAGCAGCTCAGTGCAATGACACTGGCCTCGACGTAGGAATGTGGAATTTCCACCTCAGGGCTAGTTACATATTGGGAAATTACTCAGTCCATCGTTTCTCCACGTTCAATACTTGTAGTCCCGTTTTGTGGAAAAAAAAACAATGATTTTTCTTTCGGTAAACAATGTGGAAATTCCACTGCTGATTAAAATCTGAATTTGAAGCTTCCGTGACTGCAGGAATCCATTCGCATTGGTTCTTTCGGTAAAGTCACGTAGGTGGAAAAAAATAATAATAGATCACGACGTTTCGATCGCCACGCAAGCAATCGTCTTCAGGTGGGAGATAGAAACAGGCTGCTGAAACAAGTCCTTATATAGAGAGCCGAGAGGGGTGGGGGGTGCCGCATCGGGCAAGAGGGTGGGGGCTAGAGATTGTGCCTAAGCGAGTTGGAAATCCAAAGATGGGAACCGAGATGGGGGGGAAGGGGGGGTTGATGCACCTCCAGGTGGCCATTGTATTGTGAGAGATGAGCATTTCAATGTGTAGTGACGGTATATCCGCCACTAGGGGGATAAAGCGCGCAACAGGAGACACAGACAGAGAGAGAGATACACACAGAGAGACAGAGAGAGAGACACACACGGAGAGACACATAGAGCGAGAGACACACCTAGAGAGAGACACAGAGAGAAAGACACACACAGAGAGAGACACACACAGAGACACACACAGAGGGACACACCCAGAGAGAGAGAGAGAGACACACACACAGAAAGACACCCACACACAGAGAGAAACACACACACAAAGTGACACAGAGAGAGACACACACATACACACACAGAGACACGAAGAGAGAGAGAGAGAGACAAACAGGGAGACACAGAGAGAGAGACACAGAGAGACACACAAACCGAGAGACACACACACAGAAAGACACACACACAGAGACACACACACAACAACATCACATCCAGTTATAATCTGCTAAAAAACGAGAGCCACCGCCACATCGAGGGAAAGGGGGCAACGTTGGCTTTGTTAGTGAGACATTTAGCCCGTTAAAGTAAAGACATTTAACTTGGTAATGTAACTCAGAGAGTCGGAAATAACTGCTGACAATGGCAGGTAGGATGGAAACATCAACAACCAGTTAAGGCTTTACCTGGTTAATAACGTCCTAGATTTGAAGTTTTCGTGACTGCAAGGATCCAAACTATTTGGTACTTTCGGTAAAGTCACGTAGATGAAAAAAAAATATTTAATTTTGTTATTTTCATTTTATTTGTATTATTATTTTTATTTTTCATCTACCTGACTTTACCGAAAGAACCAAAGAGTATAATAACGTCCTTCCAATGATTTCTCAATTTGTACCCATCTTCTCGGTTGAAGTTATGTCTGTGTTTATTTATCTGGATGGCTTCATGAACAAATCTTTGATGGTAGCCCGAAGGTTTGCCGAGTACCTTGGTCTCAGAAAAAACAATGTCGTGTGAGCCCACCGCGTTCAAGCAGTGATCAGCCACGGCAGAGGTATTGGTTCTGCCGTGTTTCAAATCTGACTTGTGTTCGCGAACACGGTCCGAGACATGGCGTTTAGTTTCCCCAATGTAACTGCTACCGCAGACGCAACTTATTTTGTAGACACCAGGGTACTGCATGTCAGGAATCACATCTTTCACAGATGGGATCAGGTCACGGATTTTGTGTACTGTGTTGAATCGAACCTGGATCTTGTGTTTGTTCAAGATTTTGGAAATCTTTTTGGTAACCCCTGCTATGTATGGCAAGGTGATGGTTTTGATTGGGTCCCAAGATGGTTCTCTACCCAATAGCTATATAGCTCAGTGGGCATTACCTGGTAAAAAAACAACTTTTTAAAGAGTTTCTAGTTTAGTCGAGTGTGAGGCCACGGCATTTGTAACGGTGACAAAAAAATATTGATTTTGCCAAATGCCACGAGACATCTGGACAGTCGCCGCCAAAGTGGCATGTGTGCAAGTGGCGTCGTACCTCCATAATAGAATGCAGCTGGTCTTCGTTCGTGTGTCCTGGGAATAGCGTCTGGCCTGAGTGCAGCTCTGCCAGAGTGCAGCCCAGGGACCACATGTCGGCAGGGAAGCTGTAGCCCAGATCCAGTATGACTTCGGGTGCTCGGTAGTGTCGGGTCTGGATCTTAGTGAAGTCTGTTTGCCATGTGGTGGCACAGGCACAAAGACAAAGGTCCCCGTTATAGTCTTCACAGACCGTTAAGGCAAGTGCAGCTGACTAGCACCTATGAAGGCTGGCATGGCACACGAGAGGGGTGGGTGGTAAGGCCCATTGAGCTGTATAGCTTTTTTCAGAATGGACCTGGCCACAAATGATAGCTCAACAAAGTGGATTATCACGTGGAAATGTATAGCTGCCAAATACTCTAAACGTATGTTGATTATAAATGTGGAGGGGAAAAGCGGAGGACCCGGAGAAAAATGAACTCGACCACAAGTAGAACATGCAAACTCCAAATATACAACAGGTGTCAGGATCAGGATCGAACTCACGACCTCCTGCATACCAGGCAAGAGAGTTAACATCTCGCCACCGCGGCGCCACAGTGGAATGGACCCAGGTATCATAGATGAACAGATTGGGGTTGCCTGACGGATAGAGTAGCTGCTATCCATACTGTGTAATTTCTACACACGAATGCACACACACAGAGAGACTTACTGAGTCTCAAGACTATTTCAAGTGAGTCCTGCACTGGGATATTTTGCCAATTCCTTTTTAAGGACTAATTTGGAAGTGGAGAAATGTGTTAATTACTCTGCAATACTGACTGTAAATTATTGGTAAGACGCTTTGATTGAATTGCACTAACAATCACACCACCGCTTCCTATAACGGGCTGGTTAAAATTAATAACATGTTTCTCTCCGTCACTGGTGGTAAAAATCCTGGACATTGGACATATGGGCGTACGGTACTGGTCTTTTTTTTTCTGTAGACCTCATCAATAAGAAGGGGAGTCGGCAGAAACGTCAACATTTTCGACATTTTTTCTGAGTGACCTCTTTGTTATTTTTCATCATTGATCGCCACACGAACATTTGCACATTGGATCGCCTGGCTGGGACTTGTTGGAACTGCGCGGGCTGCCCCCGGCTGTCCCTGGGGTTCGTTGTTTCACACCTCTGATTAGCACGGTTGGCTACATACGATGCAAAAGACGTTCAACATACATACATACATTGTTGTTGTTCTCATTGTTGTTGGTGCTGGGCCCTGGTAAATTAATCTTCGGCTGTGTTTCCCTGCCCTGACCGATGTGGCCGGATAGAGGGGGTTAAACGGGGGCGCCACGGGCTGGAGAAGAGATGGACTGATGTGTCACAGGAGGATGTGGAGCTGAGTGGACTTGCGGATCACTGTGTCCAAATCGGCCTCTGTGGAGGGGGCTAGTGAAAGGACGCTACTGGGCAGTGGGAGGCAATCGCCCTCCTGCAACAATGGAGGACGGAGGAGCGATGCTCACAACAACCAGTGAAGCGCCGGGTAGATAAAATACAGCAAGTTGGCACAGTGGGGAGCACAAGTGGTGCATCTGCCAGTCATCTCAGTCAGTCAACCCATGGCACCTGGGTCCGTCCCATTACCTTCTGCACCTAGCCTGGGCACATCAGTCAACCCATAGCACCTGGGTCTGTCCCGTGACCTGCCAGCAGCAGCGAGCCGTTCAAAGTGCACCTGGCCTGGCAATATGCGAACGGTGGCTGCTGTCTTTGACCACCGCAACTCCTAGCCGAATGCACTTGAACTTTTGTGATTATTGAAAAGCAACCTTGAGATGTGACCACGTTCTTAGAAAATGAATTCGATCTGTTGTTGGGAAAGAGCGCCGCAAACTCACGCTCTTCATGATCGAAACAGCTGCAGCCAAAGTCGAAGAGCTTCACTTCGCCAGCCTCATAACTGCAGATGCCGATGTTCCCCTGAGAGGAGGAAACGGGACACACTTCGTTACTCCGAGCTCGGTCACCATCAACACCGGCAGCCAGTCGAGTAACGAGCGTGGGGGGCAGGGGGTGTCTTGGCGGCCTCCCCTGGTGGCCAAAGCTACGAGCTGGGCAGTCCCCACTCTTGACAATCACCATGACAACAGCGTAAAAGAACAACAATTATTTAAAACGCGGTTTTAATGTATTTTTTTTTTTATTCAAAAGCTTTCATTTACGTTCCAAGTTGTATTTTAATTTAATCAGCGCAGCCATTTAATAATTGGAGAGAGTTCCCACGGAGCTGTCCGTGGCCGCATTTTGAGGCAGGCGGGAGCATCCCGACCGCGTGAAATGTTCGAGACCGCGAGCGTTTCGATGTGATTCGCGGCAACAGGAGCGGCGATATACAATGGCCCATAGGTGCGACCCTGGGAGACAAATCAAATACTGAGGCTCCACCTAACCGATTGCCGGCATCCCCCCCTACCCCCCGAGCTGAGGGTCGTTAAAAGTGGAGGGGACAAATCCACGTCACCACAGGGAAAGCGAGATAGAGACATGCAAACTCAAAATATACAGGCATCAGAGTCGGGGATCGAACCCACGACCTCCTGTAATCCAGGCGAGGTAGTTAACATCTCGCCACCGTGGCACCCCACTTGTTTTGAGCATCCCTCCCCCCGCACCGTGGGGACAAAGTCAACAAAAATAAAACAATGTCAGGCGGTCTTTCTCTCTCTCTCGCAGAAGAGCCAGGAATAAAAATGTATCCGGACCGGAAACAAATAATGAGGCAATCCACTTACGCACAACGGCACAACTATTTTCAGCCGCAATTATCTGGTGGCTGAGGTCTCGAATATATTCCGGGCCCAACCCGGCGCTGTCAGCTCGGTGGCGTTGGGAGGTTGGGAGGCCTCGGAATATATTCCTGTGAGATACCAACGCGTCCGCTGGGAGCTCAGCGAGCGGGTCGGTGTTTAAAACGGCTCGTCAGCGTCGTCACTCGCCGGCTTGAGGTCACCGTGGATCACGTTCACGTCACGGAGCTGCTGGAGGCTCTTGAGCAGCGAGATGGCGAAGAGGCGCACCGTCTCCAGGACAAACCCCTGGCGATGGGTCAGCTTCAGCTGCGACCGCAGATTTCCGCTGTAACAGACGACGTGCGTGTGTGTGTGCATCGTGCGTCGCCCTCGATCAGCACGGTTGGCTACGTACGGTGCGAAAGAAGTTCAATGTCCAGTCTGTTCTCCTATAACGCGGCAGTAGTTGCGTTCCTGAAGAACACCGCGTTATGGAAAAATCGTGATAATGCCGTGAGATGCGTACGCAGGCTGAACAAAGACTGAGGCGCGTGGGTAGCATCTATAAGCATCCAGCAGCATCCCGCCTTGCGTGATGCTACGACGAGGGAGCCGCACGATCACTTATTCCGACTCGCGCGACGTAGTTCCGTTCACTCGATCGCGTTTCATCAACTTCGCACCCGCGTTATAAAAAAATGTGTTCCCTAATAAATTCATCATCGCGTTGTATCCAATTCGCGTTATGAAAACACGCATTGTAGGAGAACAAACACGTATCGTCCAGGATTACCAAAGTGAGTGAGTCTTGTCGGGATAGATGGGTGCGTTTCACTGTAAGATGTAGGTTGTACTGATGAATGCCTGGTAATTCTTAGTATTGGTTTTTGTAGCCTATATCATAATCGTATTGTGTTAATATACAGTGTGAAAACTGCAGTATAATCGGCAAGAGTGGTGGTGCAGAGTTTCGTGCATTGGACTCTGAACCCGAAGGGCTGAGTTCGACTCCCGAACTCAGCAGCGCCACGTGACACCTGAACCGGTCCTCTGGTGGTGAAGTATGGTCAAACATTTCGAGTTAAAGCTTTCGTGACTGCAGGGATTCATCTTCTTGGTTCTTTCGGTAAAGTCACGTAGAAGGGAAGTAATAAAATAATAAAAATAAAACATAATAAAATAATTCTCACCAGGTCTGTCGAGGCGACAGCGTCTATGGTCAAACAACCCCCCATGACCGCCCCAGTGTGGGGGTGAATCTCGTCCAGCAGTGCCAGTTAATTATCATCTTCGCTCGAAGAGATGAGGGCTGGAGGTGGAAACTGGTGGCAGCGGAGTGACGCCCAAAGGAGGAAAGGCACCAAGAGGATGACCACGATGGAAACGGGACGACGAGGTGGCGAGATGTTAACTACCTCGCCTGGTATACAGAATGGCATGGGTTCGATCCCAACCATGATGCCTGCTGTATATTTGGAGTTTGCATGTCCTTTCGCCCCATGGTCGCGTGGAGTTTTCTTCGAGTCCTCCAGTTTTTCCTTACACATTTAGAAGCAATACATTTCCACGTGATAAGCCACTTGGCTGAACTATCATTTGTGGCCAGGTCACTTCTGAAAAAGAGCTATACTGTATTGCTCAGTGGGCCTTACCTGGTAAAATAAAAGTATAGTTGATAGTGTTTTTTTTATCATGTGCATGAGTGAGGCGGGTTATATCAGCGTAAGAGCATGACGGATGGCAACAACTTTGGCTCAGGTGGCTTCCTAATATCGGAAGGAAGAGCATTCCAGACGGCCGCAGACGCGCATCTGAAAGCGCGCGATGCGGTGACCGTCTTTGTTAAATGGTGAACCAAAAGCCGCTTCTGCTGCAAGGACGACCCGAGTTCGCGTGATGTTGGCTTATGCTCCTTGGCCAGATCAGCGAGGTATCTTTGTGTGTAACGAGCGTGACCTCATAACGTATTCGTTCGGCAAGCGGAAGCGTCACAATGCACGTTTTACTGGTAGGAACCTTCTGGTTACACCAGCTCACAGGGGATTATTGTGTCCGTCCGTCGAGCAGGGAGGGACTGGGTGGGGAGGGAGGGGCTGGGTGGGGAGGGGAGGGTGGGGAGGAGCTGGCTGGGGAGAGTGGGGAGGGACTGGGTGGGGAGGGTGGGGAGGGGCTGGGTGGGGAGGGTGGGGCTGGATGTGGGGTGGGGAGGGGCTGGTCACCCCGTGGTGCCCTTATAAAACTCAACGTTTAACCTACTCACGCCGGCTTGTGCCCGCCCTCACAGTCGGGAATATTTGCGGAATACACCACGCCGCCGTTGACCCTGGCCATTGACCGAGCAACCCATCGTTCCTACCAGCTCCCTCCGCAGGAATGTGTTCCATTTAGATTTAAAAGTGTCCCCCCTGTGCGACTCGTGTGTGCTTACTTCAACAGCTCGAAGACCACGCACTCGCGGCCGCGAAAAGAGAAGTGCTCCATCATGCGGATGATTTTGCTGCTCTCTCTCGCCGTCTGCAGCCTCTTGAGAATCTCAATCTCCCGCCGATGAACGCTCTCGTTGAACCTGTTGATGAGGCCGCATGGCCGCGTGGACACTGTGAGCCAGGCGTCAATTGCTGATGTAATTGCTTTGGGCAGCCTGCTTCATTGCAGTGGCGTGGCGAGAGGTGGGGCCGGCAGGGGGTGCCTTGCCCCCCCCCCCCCACCGCCGCCCCCCCTTTAGTGGCCAAAGCTACGAGTTGGGGCACCCTCTTGACAACCACCAGGAGATGTGTTTTCAGCAGCAGTGTCAGCGACTAAAAACGTATTTTAAACGCGGCTTAAATTCGTTTACGTTTTATTTTAATTTAATGAGAGCAGCAAACGTTTGGCTTCCGCAAAAAATTCGCCAAGCTAATATTCGGGGCCCCACCTGACCGATAATGTAGTGACTATGCCCACTGATAATGTAGTTTACGACGCCACTGATAGTGTAGTTACTGCTTCATTGACCTCGCCAGCTGCCGTGCGCATTCATGTCTGGCTGTGCCCAGCAAGCCGGCTATGTGCTCGGTACTCCTACAGTGCCCAACAACTGCATTGTGTCATTCTAGATTTGAAGTTTTCGTGACTGCAAGGATCCATACTCTTTGGTCTTTTCGGTAAAGTCACGTAGGTGAAAAATAATAAATAAATAATGTTTTTTTTCACCTACGTGACTTTACCGAAAGAACAAAACAGAACTGGATTGTGCTGCAGTTAAGATTGATTTAACTCGCAATCACATGACTGTGGTGAGTTTCATTCCAAATTGTGAATCAATACAGCATATTCAACTATCCAGGGGTCGATTCAATTGGTCTAGCACTTTGTGTGAAGTCAAAACACCGTAGTGGTAATTTTATAAACTGTCGCTTGCCATAGCAATGTGGAATTTCCATCACCGGTTCAGGGCCTCCAACAAAGATAAGCGCCAGGACAAAACAACGATCGGTCGATTCTTTACGACAAATTTTGGTTTTGTTCACTGAAAAACTCCATTATCTTAACTTAAACATAATGTATTCCTATATTAGTGCTTTTTCGCATAGAGATCTGCGGAAAATTGTTATATTTTCAGGATTATCCGCGTTTTTGAATCATCAGCGACCGTCCTCCCGGTCATTAGCGCGGATAATCGAGAGTCAACGGTGTACATTTTACGTGGAGATCGAGATGCGAAGGAGACACATTGTCTGCTTATTTATTTCGTTATTTGTATTTGTAGTGGGTTCACAAGCGACAGAGACGTTGTAGTCGAGGCACACTATTTATTATAACTTTACAGGGTAACAATGGAAGGGGTAACGGCCCCTTCACCCGTACTGGACTGGGATACACCCCGAGGCTATCTGCCTCACTGTTATGCTCCCAGGTCCTCCGCTAAGGGTGCTAGGGGAGGCTATCTGACCTGGCCCTGGTCAAGGCACAGGTCACGACACCCAGCCAGACAGACCCGGCTCTTAGAAGAACATCGGCTCTTGGGCTCTGGGGCTCTGGGGCCGCGCCACTGGCTTGCTCTGCCCGGTCCTGAGAAGGACAGCGAGTCGGAGGAGTTCCAGGGCCTATCTGCCCGGTCTTCGGTCTTCACTGGCTCTTCGCTCTTTAGCTCCCCAACACTTCTCCTCGAGCTCTCTGGCTCCCCGCCTTTAATACCAACTTGCCACCGAGGGGTGGGGCTGTGTGGGATCACAGCATCCTCCCACAGCCCCCCAGGGTGGTAACCGTTTGCGGACGTGGATGTGGACACCCCTGTGTACCCGTCCGTTTTCCTCCCGTAACACCCCTACATATTCACGACAACGCTCTCTGCGGTGAACCCATTTGCTCTCATGTCTCGGCAGAGACGAAGAGGCGGATTTGAGAATTTGAGAAACTTGCGCCGTCGCTTCAATTGCCGCGCCGGGAGATATACAATGAATTGCTTCGTGCGGTGGCAGTGCCGCGTGTTTGAAACACGAAACGACGCGCGCGACACCGCGTCGGCAAACACCGCCGAGCCGAGCCGAGCGACGTAAACCCGCCCGCGAGCTCACCGGGCTCGATTGAGCACCTTGACGGCGACGAACTCCTTGCTCTTGTGGTCCAGGCACTTGAGCACCTTCCCGAAGCTGCCCTGGCCCAGTACGTCCAGCACCTCGTAGCGGTAGAGGAGGTGTTCGTGCCAAACCTTTGCGCGCAGGTGCCACGGGGGGTAGAGGAGGGTGGGGGTGCAGTGAGAGTGAAAATCGGATGGCTCGCCAGAGCTGCAGCTTCCACGTTCGATTCACAATTTGCAGTCGATCCTCGATGGTTATTCAGCGGCTTTGGTTGGCGTGGGCTGGGGAAGGGGGCGCGGGATTTAAAAAAACGCCGGATTATCGCAGCATGATTTAAAATAGCTATATTTTTGCACATTATTGAATCACGTGTTTTTAGGTTGCTAGTCTTTGACGTTTTGTTTACTATCCATAATGCGGATTTTTTTTGGGGTTAGATCGCGTAAATATAAATGTGTCGTTAAACCCGCCACCACCCGACACAGCCAATTAGTAAGTTTTGTCACGTAAATAGAACATGCCAATTCGTTACTAGTAGAACACACCAGTGTGTTGGAGAGCAAATCCACAACATTTACAATGTGAGTACGACGTTTACTATATCGAATTGGTTTAAATAAACACAAAAACAGACAAATATCCTACTGTAAAAGTTACTATAATTACTGTACCGTATGTACCACTCCGATCTCGAAGACTCTGCATGGGGTGATGATATGAGGGTGTAGAATTGGAGGTGGCTATTCAGTCTGAATCCAACTCCCATCAGCTGTGATGGAGGTTCGCCGGATCGGCCCGGGACAGCCGGATAATGTTGGAAGCCGGATTATCGCGCGCCAGATAATTGATGATCTACCGTAGTTTACTTCGGGTTAGATCACTATGTAGGTATAATGCCAACATTACACCATCTTAGCTTATGTTATATCTATAGAGCGCCTTTATTCAAGGTGCTTAACATAGTAAAAAATAAACGATATAACACAAGAATGATTTAGATGGCAGGGGCCTGCAAGGGATGAGGAGTGGGTGACCGCGATCGAGGTTAAGTAGAGATCACGAAAGGGTTGGGGGGGACGGTGAGGAGTGGAGGGGCGGGGGGAGGGAAGAGGAAGAGAATGATCAATGGAGAAGAGGTGAGGCTTCAAGAGAGACATGGAGGGAGGTCAAGTAGGGGAGGGGCTGCTTAGCAGTATATTCCACTACCTGACAGAGCCAATCAGAATTTTTAAAATATTTATTGGAGAAATCCGATGAGCTATAAAGCTCTTGTTCACAGATGTCCAGTCGGGGCACGGGGTCAGAACGTTACATCAACAACAAAATATAAAAACACGATAGAAGCACAAAGTGTAAGAAAGGTAAGCAAATCACAAAAAAACTAAACACATTTTTTAAAATTTTACCTGATAAAGCCCACTGAGCTATGAGCTTATTTGTCAGAAGCGACCACAAATTAGAGCTCAACGAAGTGGGTTATATTTTTTATTTAAAGCTTTCGTGACTGCAGGGATTCATATTCTTGGTTCTTTCGGTAAAATCACGTAGAAGGGAAATAATAAAATAATATAAATATAATAATTAAAAAAATATATATACAATAAAAAAGATACAATAAAACTTGTTTCAAATTTATATTATTTATTATTTCCCTTCTATATGACTTTACCGAAAGAACCAATAATATGAAGTGGGTTATCGTGTGAAACAGTATAGCAGCCCAATAATCTAAGTAATCAAATTGAATTTGTCGCATGGGCAAATTTGCCAATTGATTTGGAAATCTACCTGCTTTTGTTCTATGCAACCCCTGTAGACACTCCCTTCACATGCAACGTGCTGGCTACCGTCGTATCAGCTGTGCTGGCCGGGTCACCCACGGACTGACTGATACAGGCGTAGCATCGTGCGTTGATTACAATAAACTATTACAAAAACATTTACTTTACAAGGTAATGCCCACTGAGATATATAACTCTTTTTGCAGAAGCCACCTGGCTACAAAGGAAAGCTCAACGAAGTGGCTTATCATGTGGACATTTGTAGCAGACAAATACTCAAAATGTATAATGTTTCTAAATATGGAGGGGGAAAACCGGAAACCCCGGAGAAAAATCCACGCGAACACAGTGAGAGGGAACGCGCAAACTCCAAATATACAGGCTTCAGGGTCGAGATGGAACCCACGACCTCCTGTAAACCAGGCGAGGTAGTTAACACCTCGCCGCAGTGGCACCCTACATGCAAATGCGTGGCAGGGACGTGCGGTCAGGGGAGGCAGGGGAGGCAGAGCCTCATCTGTCATACTCCAATGAAAATAGCTGTTACGAAAATAAAAAGAATAAGCAAATAAAATAAATATTAAGATTTTTCCACTGATGTGTCATTTCTGTACGATTCCAATCATTTTTATCGTCACAATCGCCAAATTTGCGGAGCTCCGCTGCAAATACAGGAAGAGACGAGAGGTGAGGCAGAGACGAGCTCAGCCTCTCCTCTGATTGCGCAACCCCTCAGTAACTGGATGGAGCGCGGGCAATAAGCGCGTGCCTGTTACTATCTCAGTATGTCACCAATGTAATGTTTGTAGACCCCTTCATTTCATGTGCTCGCCTTCCATACTCCAGGTAACTTATTTCACGTACGTGTATAAAGATATTTAGGCTCGCTGGTCTCGTCATGAAACTGCAATGAAAAAGCACCAGGGGAGGCAGCTATCACATCTGCCTCACTGAGGGGGACGTGTCTAACACGCCCCCCTCTGTGAGGACACGCCTCTCTCCGTGAGACCACGCCCCCCTCAGTGTGTGAATCTGGCTCTGACACTTGCCAATGGCCTCCCAAGCCATGGACCTCACCGCACGTCACTGATGCGTGGAGGGTTTGTGGGTGGCCAGGGAGTCTAACCGGAATGTAGTGGCCGTCGGCTCCATAACAGGTGACTTTGCCACGTCCCATCCTCCGTGGCGTCGCGCTGTAATACCAGATCTCCTTGCAAGCGCTCAGCTCCTTGCGCTCGCGTTTGTTAATGCGGGGTCCGTACATCTTCATAATGTCTGCGAACAAGTGTGCAGGACACAAACAAAGATCCCCCGTGTCGCCTCGACAGACTGCTGAGGCAAGCGCTGTTTAGCGAGCGGCACCGATGAAGGCCGGAACGGTACACGACAGGGTGGTGGGTGTCCAGCACCACGCCCGGCCGCCTTTGTCTCCCCAGTGGCGATGTTTTACACACCGCACGACGAGGTACTCATTTGAGGCTGTGTCGACCTAGGGAAGGCCCAAGACCGCTTCAAATAATTGTTACTGGTGATGTACACACACACATCCACTACATAAATTAGAGTCACATTTCCGTTAAACTAACCTATGATCAAACCATCCCGAATTGCGCCTGAGCAGGTTTGAGCCTACACACCAGGCGTCAGTAGTCTGCATGGCTATGTGGTGGGCAGCAGAGGGCAGTGACGAAACACGATTTATTGTACTCTACTTCTATGCTCCCACGTCTGAGCTCCCCTCCTTCACCAACCCGCCCTGACGAGTGCAGTGAAGTGCGATCAAATGACTCCCACGACCCGTACGGCATGAGGTGACCCTCATCCAGCAGTGGATTGACACATGGCGTTACAGGATCCATCCGTATGCACGGTTTTTATTTTTTTATTTTGATCCTGGAAGGATATTGGGCAGAGTTGACCCCCCTGACGAGGATCTGAACTCGTGGCCTTCCGGTTGTGAGCCGGGCGACAGCCGGTGCGACACAGCGCCGCCTGAACCTGCGAAGTCAATCGTTCCAGTAAACGTGGAACGTTGGGTCAACATGTGTCGCAACGGTCCCAACCCCGTGCCAACATTAGCCCGTCGTCGGTGTGTTTAGTTTGGGTGGTGAATTATGGATCCAGACCTTTTGAAGAGAAGCGGGTGTCACGGTCATTCTTCACCCCGTCCGAGTGAGGCAGGGCTGGACTTCCCCTCTGACCGTTCGAGGGCACGCGCTCAACTCGGGCACGGACGTCACAGGTGAACCGAACGGCCTGGCGACACGAGGCGAGGTCAAGAGGTCAGTGGCTTCAAGTAATCATAAATAATACTTTCATTTTTATATAGCGTCATTCATGCCAACAGCATCCCACAATGATGTGGAATGAGTGCTGCTTACAATGTGGGACATACAGGCAGAGCCGCGATTAAGCGCTCAAGATGCGCTCCTGAAGAAGTGAGCGCTAAGAGGGGTTATCAAGGCCGTAATTATAATATATATTGGGGGGAAACGTCGTGATATGCTCAAATGTCCCCCCCCCCCCCAATATATTGCTATAAAATAGATTTTTGTTTATATGATTGTGGTTATGATTGTACTTTATTAATCCCTAATCTCTGCCATTACATACAATGAAACAAGAAAAGGTAAAAAAAACAGAGCAATGAAATACAATACACTATTAGACATTATTGTAAAAAAATAAATCAATAATCCATCCTATGTGTTAGTGATTTTTTTTATATTTTAGGCAGGAAATGGCAGAAAATTTGTTTTCAAACTTAGATTTTTTTTTCTGGGGGGGGGGGGGGGGGCAGACCCCCTGGAAGATTTGGTCCCCCCCAATGTTGACTCCATGGCTACGGCCTTGCATTGTATAAATGGACATGCGTTCCCGACAGCGCTATTTTTCGTATGAGCAATGTACGAGTGCTTCATTGGGGTATCGGTCATAGCGCTAACAATAATACAGATGGTAAACGTTAATTCATAAGTAAACAACAATTTATGATACTATCATTATTATGCACTGCACTCACGAGGGCATTCTATTGTACTACTGCATGGCAGCGGTGGGAGATGAGGTTGGAGGAGCTACGCTCCCAATCTGGGTCTTCGTGATGTCCTCAGTCAACATTTATGTGGCGAGGTTTCTTTTTGAAATGGAGCCTGAGACGATTACTTGTGTTGCGATCGAAACGTCGTGATATTGTTATTATTTTATTATTTGTTCTATCTACGTGGCTTTACCGAAAGAACCCAAAGAATATTTTCTTAATTGTTTTCGTATTTTTTTTTTCTGGGGTGGCACGTGCTCCACCAATGAGCCGATCGAAATCCCTAATTTCGATCGGATCATTGGGGTGACCCCCACTGCCACTGTGTAGCATATTATTACGTGCCAGGGACTCTATGAGATGATTGGACAATAGTCTGAGTCCATATTTGGCAATAAGTAACGGCAAAGGAGTTATGTGTGACTCTCAGAATTGTGCGCAGTTGCGTATACAGGACACGACTTCCTTGAAGGCATTCACCTTCAGCGAGCGCGATGCCGATCACACACGGTTCGAATTCGACCCTCGATCGATGGCTGCGCCATCGCCGCACACGCGTCGAATAAAAGGCAAGGGACATGTCCTTACTTGCTAACAACTCCTATCATTTTTCATTGCTGGAAGGGTTGCCCCCCTTACCTGAAAATCCTGGCTCTGCCATTGTCTGCCTGTATGGTCAATTGTGAAACCATTCCTGAGAGATTAATGCCAATTGTGAGTACATTGAAGATCTGAGAAAAGTCAAGGAAAATCTGGAGAAAACCAAAACGAGACTTGGCTCCCAGTGCCTTCCACGTTGTTTCAACAGTTATTAAGGAAGAACCCAGCAAACATGCTGATACCCAGTGAACATGCCAATGTCCGGCCAACATTGGCACGTGGTTGGAACCGTTGGACAAACGTTGGCCCAACGGTGGCCCAACGTTCCTTGTTTACTGGGCACTTGGAGGGAGAGCGATGTTTTTGCCAGTGACCACGAAGCTACGGACTGGCTTGAGGGGCGAGACCAGGAGTCCTTCCGGGCGGAGATTCAAGCCTGAGGACATCTCTTGCAACGATGCATTTGGGGTTCGAGACTCAAGAGCTTTTGTAGTCGTACCTTGATTAAAACAAAATGTAAACGCCTGCGTAAGCAAAATACGTTTTTTTCTTTATTTGGTGCAATTGTGAACAACAGCCATATCAGACATGAGTACATCTAATCACCATACTAATTGGGTTCACTGCTGCTCAAAGACTCACTCCTACAATGCGTGTGGCGAAATTAGGAGATTTACATGTACTCGTCATTTGAAGGCCTGAAGACCAGAATCGATGATCTCGAAGACAATGTGTTCAGGGAGGCAGTCCCATATCCGAACAGCAGAGTGAAGAAAGCTTCTGATCAGGGAGGAATGTTCTAGAAACTGTTCATCTCCTTTGGCATGCTCTAAGCCAGTGATGCGGCAAGGGACGAGTCTATTCCAGGTGAACAAATTTCCCCACAAAATTGTGATCACGTGATTGTAAGTAGAGTGCTCTTTGGCAAACAACCAGCCAGATGGCACAGAAAACCAACAGATGTGCACCGAGTTTGCGGACCGAGTATTTATCTAAGATTGCCGGTCTATGTACTCGGTAGACATCTGTTGCACGCCACGGCAGCAGACACTCGCAAGACTGCACCGTGCTTTGCGTAGTCTCAGGTCAATTGCTTAGGCGCCCTTTGCCGGTTTTAGTGAAAGTGTTCATCGCTGGGAGATTGAGATTCTGAAAAGGGTTCCCGTCGGATCGAGAGAGGAACGACGACTTCGTTCGCCTGTTGCACAACTCTGATGGACAACTTGTTGGGCAACTCTGATGGACAACTCTGATGGGCAACTTGTTGGGCAACTCTGACGGACAACTCTGATGGACAAATGGCGCTCCCAGACACGCGTAAGATTTTAGCAGATTCCAACGATGCGTGCATTCTCCCAGCAACTTTCAACGCTCTGATATGGCCACAGCTGCCCCATACGCCTTCATGGGTACGTCCTCCCTCCCCTTACCTGTTGCTCGGCAATTTCTTCCCGACGGCTCCCAATGGCAGGGGAAGGTGGCCTCTTGAACACGCTCTGTTTCAATATCCCGAGGAGCCTGCAGGCAACAACGCACATTTCTCATATGAGAGTTCATCACTAGCTGTGGGTGGAGGTGTACGTGTGTGATCCAGCACTTTGGAGGTGAATGGTTGGTGGATTTGCAGACGTATGAGGCTTACAAACCCACTGGGCCGCGAGGTGACCAGGGCGTGGCAGTACAGCAAATTGATGATTGAATCCAACTTTGCAGAGTTTTTAGTGTCTTCTACCCGAATGTGCTGGCTTTCTCCGGGTACTCAGTTTATTCCCACTCGCCGAAAATTAATGTATATATGTATGTTGAACTTCTTTCGCCCCGTACGTAGCCAACCGTGCTAATTGGAAGTGCCGGGGATAGACAACAAACTAAACACAAAAAGTAGTTCTAAAGAAACTGGTTTTCAATCTAGATGATCTAAAAGTGCATAGCTAAAGTGGCTTCCGAATATCGGAGAGAAGAGCGTTCCAGAAGGCCATGGAAGCGCATCTTGAAAGCGCGCTACGCAGTAGACGTATTTGTTCGTGATGGTGATGATGATGACGATGATGCGGCTAATCAATCCCCAACCAGGACTCAAACTCATTGCCACTTCTTCTTGGTTCTTTCGGTAAAGTCACGTAGAATGGACAGACCTGCTCTCCACCTGAGGACGGCTGCTTGCGTTGTGGCCGAAACATCGTGAAAATTCCATTCTACGTGACTTTACCGAAAGAACCAAGAAGATGAATCCCTGCAGTCACGAAAGCTTTAAATCGAAATTCATTGCCACTTTTTTGCAAAATTGAGTTGGGTGCTTTGGCCACTCCGCTTAATGCACCACGTGGCTGGATCAGTGGAATTTACACGCACGCTCGTGCAACAGCCAAAGCCTCAACGAGGGGTCTATTCGAGATAGTGACGGATGTTTGTTTTTGTTTTTAAACACGTATACAAATATGATGTCGGCTATAATTATAAACATTGTTTTAGTTGCACCGTGCATTGGGTTTAGAGGAAGACAGCCTCACAGTTACGGTATTAATAAATAAACATATTGAAAGGTACAATACTCACAATTAAGTTAACATGCGTTTTGCTTTCATGGGCATGTCAGTTATCAAACAAGCCTGGTGGTGTTCAGAAACAAACACCAGCAGTAGCGTTACTAGATTTTTCACGCTGTGTGTAATTATTATAAATGTATATTTTTCATTTGTAACAATGTTTTCGTTTGCATTCATGGTTAATTGTTGGAATTTTTTTTTATAATTGTTCTTAACATTTTCTTGTTAACTGGGCCCCGTATGAGTCGCATAACGCTGCCACTTACACACTCCTCCCCATAGTTGCGCCCTGGCTGCGAGGATGACGACACTGGCTGACACTTGTCCCACACATGGACCCGTGACTTTTTAAATCCTTTATATTAAGTTCACTTGCTTGCTTGCTTGCGCGCTTACGACCGTGCAAATCTTTCGGTCGTTTTTTAACCCACTTCCCGTGATCCAATCGAGCTGACATTTTGCACACAGACTCGTTGTTCGTGACAATTTATTTTCGTGAAATTTTTTTTCCAAAATTTTACACTTTTTAGGATTTTTTTTTATATTTAATTACCAATTGCTTAATGGTGGCAGGCAATCATCTGACCCATAGGTGGCAGCCATCTCAAGCCAGAGGACGAGAGGACTCTAGCCGCCACGCATATAAAGGATTTATAGTGAAATGAAACACTTTGTTTTTACGGGTTAATTTTTTTTCACAACCTCTTGTTGAGTTATTGAAGATGGGCACTAGGTGGAGGCAACGCGCCGAGTAATTCCTGGTGAGAAGCGCGTGTCACTAATAATACTCGGTGCTGCTGCCAGGGCTCGCATGAGTCTGGGACGGTGCACATCTTCAACTGGTTACACCGGGCCGTCGAATAATGGAAATTACACGTTCCTGTGCCAGGAAGGCAGGCTACCGATTTCGACTTGCTTTCCCATAAAAAGTAAAATTTTAACAATATTTCTCTATACTCTTTGGTTTTTTCGGTAAAGTCACGTAGGTTAAAAAAGAAAACAAATACATATTTCTCTACTTATTATTTATATTATTTACCATATATTTTTGTTATAGACGTGGCTATCTGCCCATGATGATGATGATGATATTTCTTACGCGATATATTTGTTGCACTCGGTTGCACTTTATTTTGCTCAGTCGGTGTTAGCCGCTGAGATCGTGGTGGGGTTTCTTTTCATTCCTGTTGATCCATGCTCCTGTACTGATGCCTACTTTATTGGGGGGGGGGGGGTGATATTGGAATGTAAAATAAAGATGTATTGATTCTATCGTTGCGTGTGACAATATGGTTCAGGACCTACATGCCAAAGCGGATGTCTGCTATCTACGACGAGAGGGCTTCAGGAGAGATACAGAGTTGGTGTCGTTTTGCTGTTCCTCCTCCGTTGAAGGAACACAGACTGCAGTGGTCTGCTGAGCGGTCCGCAGTTTGGGTTGTATGATAACAGTTGGGCTGTGCTTGTCTTTAATTGCCCGTTCGTGAAAGCAAAGTGCGCATCAGCCGAAAAGACGAAGAGAGACCCAGGGAGCTCCCTTGAATAGTCTCAGCGGGCTTTCAAAGGGGTGAAAAATGTAACTGGAGATGGTAATTTTTTGTATTGTGTTTTTTTTTATTGAGCAAGAGTCCATGGGATAGAGAAATGTTCTTCATTGCAAGGCCCGCGGGCCACTGGCGGCCCCTGGTGGCCTTTAGTGCGGCCCCTGACGCGCGGCTCTCAACAATACACAACACGTGAAAACAACCCCCACCATCATCATCGTGCTGTTGTCAAACCCTCAGTGGGGGAGGAATTTCACCTATCTGTTAGAGTTTTTAACAGACAACGAGACAAGAAGTTACAGCTTCTCGAGACGCTGGCCTTTCTTTCAATCGTGCTGTGACGGTTTCACCTGAAGACGGAAGCTTGTGTTGCCTCCGAAACGTCGTGATTTTTATTTTACTTTTATTAATTTTAATTAAAAATTTTACCTACGTGACTTTACCGAAAAAACACAAGAGTATGAATCATTGCAGTCACGAAAGCTTAAAATCTAGAATTAAACCCCCAATGGTTTCAAATGTGTGGCAGAACCTCACACTGCTGATGTCTTATCAGCGAAAGTGGTCTCCCTCTGAAAATGAGTGAAGAACACCGCTGTAAATCGTCAAGTCATCGTGATAGCCCAGAGTCTACGGTGGAAATTACACCTTCCTATGGCGGGGACGAGTCTATCCACAGGACAACCACTGTCCTGTGGCGGCCCTCACACTAATGTCTTATCGGCGAAAGTGGCCCCCCTTTAAAAACGAGTGAAGGACACGAGCGGAAAGGGAAGGATGATTGGGCTCACTGCCCTACTCACGTAGTAGGGGCAACGTTCGGTAACGTGGTATTCTTATGGGAGGGGAAGGAGAGGGAAGGGGTGGATATACCTAAACAGAACAGCAAAATGAAATGACGTAGACACGCTGAGCGAACTTGCCTATAACAACTATAAGCTAAAGCATTTTTTTTTATTTTACCTGGTAAGGCCCACTGAGCTGTAAAGCTCTTTTTCAGAAGCGACCTGGCCACCAATGAGAGCTCAACAAAGCGGCTTATCACGTGGAAGTGTATAGCAGCCAAATACTCTGAACGCGTGTTTCTAAATGTGGAAGGAAAACCCGGAGGACCCGGAGAAAAATCCACCCGACCACGGGAAGGGAGAGACACGAGAACTCCAAATATAGAGCAGCAGTCAGGCGTCAGGGATCGGGATCGAACCCACGGACCTTCCTACATACCCGGCGAGGGAGTTAACATCTCACCACCGAGGCGTCCCTTGCCTATCCATGGGATGGTGCGTTGGGAGTCTATCCCCCCTCCCACCCGGGTCCCCAACAATGTGCTCACTCACGCTGAGTTCAATAAGGACGGGGATCATTTTTTTAGAACTGCTATTTGTGTTTACGTAGTTTTTTGTCCTTCCCCGCACCTCCGATTAGCATGGTTTGCGACGTACACTGCGAAAGAAATTCAACATACATACATTGTAGAGGTGTATTTGTTATATCGACACGTTTAGGATGCAGTGAACGAAAATGACATTTTTCATTCGTACAGACTTGCAATGGGAAACCCAGTGAATGTAACTTTGGAGTTTGAGCAGTGATAGTAAGCGTGTAGTAATGCGATTAGAGTTGACTCTTGCGATACTCGTAATGAATTGTGAGAATCGATGCTATCGTTCGTATCCAAGAACAATTACTGAAGTCACACGATAATTGTCTAAATTATAAAATAAACAGACGAGCAAGAAGCGGTTGGAGTACTTTGAGAAAACGTAACTTAATATATATTTGCTTTGGTTACCAGGTTGTTTACACCAGAAAGCCTCGCTGAGGCTCTGCTCTTTTAACAAGGGTCCTGCAACATTAGAATCAGAATATTTATTTATACACTGGAGGAATCCGATGAGCTATTAAGCTCTTTTCACACATATGTCCAGTGGGAGCGAATCACAACGTTACAATTGCAAACAATACAAAAACACGATTAGAGTGCAAAGTATAGGAAAGGTAAACAAATGACTGAAGAAATCTATATAAATAAAACTGAACTATTTTTTATCGTACCAGGTCAAGCCCACCTCTTTCAGAAGCGACCTGGCCACAAATGATAGCTCAATGAAGTGGCTTATCATGTGATAAATATATAGCAGCAAAATTATCTAAATCATCTTCCACACGTTTCTAAATGTGGAGCGACAAATCGGAGGACCCGGAGAAATAAACCCACGCGACCATGGGGAGAACACGCAAACTCCAAATATACAGGCATCAGCGGTTGGGATCGAACCTTCGGCCTCCTGCATACCAGCCAAGGAAGATAACATCACACCGCCCCTTAAATCAATAATAAACATAAGTTCAATCTTGCCAGTCAGGGGCAATGTTGCTGCAGCTGCTTGCAATCACAATTGAGTGATTTGCAGGAAATGTATCAGCA